TAGCTTGACTCATATTGGTCAAGGTCATATATAGCTTGACTCATTGGTCAAGGTCATATATACCTTGACTCATTTGTTAAGGTCATATGTACCCGGCATAATAGGTCAAGGTATACCATGGGTGTTCAGCTATTAAAAGGATGCCAGTGAAGAGCTTGACCAATGAATGAAAATATTTTGTGGCTTAAAACCTAAGTTTTTAACGTCTTGGCACCGCTGCTTGCCTACGAGAAGGTCGGCTGCTGGGTTCCCTTTTGCCACACAGGTTAACGAACTCAAAACAAACTGTTAACTTATACGTACATGAACTTAAGATTTGTGTGTGAACTAAAAGTATAAAACAATGTTTTTATACATATTGAAATATAATGAGAATAATGCTGAGCTGGGAACAGTGCATTAAGAAGTACAAAATGAAGATTTCGCTCTAAAGCAAGCACCATCATGAAGATGAAGAAGAAAATATGAACACGGCGCCGAGGTTTATAAACGAATAGTTATGTAGCCGCGCTATAACGTGTTGTTGTTTCCTCTCATGTAGTACAAGGGTAAGGGTAGTACAAGGGTAAGGGTAGTACAAGGGTAAGGGTAGGTAATTTCAAATTTGACTTGCACTTTACGTCGTCTTTTTTTAAATTATGGGACCAAATAAATATAGCAGCATTGCATGAAACCATATTATGAAGAAATATATGCAATTTATTAAAGGAAATACGAGTACGACATGTGATCTACTGACCTCCAAGACACGTCCATCGACGACCGGACGTTAGGTTATCGGAAGGCGCTTTGCTATCCTCGGCGTCTGCGGAGACTTGCTTGCGTTTCTTTTGCATGACGGATCGAAGATGTAGTTTAAATTTTGGAATTAAAATACTAGTCGATGATCATTAACGTATCGTAGAACAGATTTTTGCAAAGTTTTTCCTCCTAAAAATACCAGGGATTCATATTCTATTGTTTGTTAGAGAAACAATTTCGTCGCGTCAACCTTACATCCGTTGTGAAATGGGGCAATACATTCATTTCCATTCAATAATAAAATTCATTCTGCTTGACTTCTGCTTAATAACAACTTTTCCGGTTTTTCATCTCTTGGGAAATATCTCTTGTTGGTTAGTCTTAAGGACAGACCTTGAATTACTTCCGAAGTGAAGTGTGTGAAGGTCGCGACGTTGGCGCTGCGAATCCTAGCCTGCATGTCGAAGACGTGCTTGGAATTCCTGAGACGATCCTTGCATTGGAAGACGTGCTTGGAATTCCTGGGACGATCCTTGCATTGAAAGACGTGCTTGGAATTACTGGGACGATCCTTGCATTGGCATACGTGCTTGGAATTCCTGGGACGATCCTTGCATTGGCATACGTGCTTGGAATTCCTGAGACGTCGCCTACATGTATAGGACGTGCTAGGGACGTACTTCGATCCTAACTTGTTCCTATCCTGCTCACATGAGGAGAATGTGTCACTTGTGCTGGATGCTGGTGGTGTGGAAACTCGAGGTGCTCGTTTACAAGCAACAAGCATCCACTAAATTATTGGTGATATCGAAATAGCAGCGAAAATGCAATCACGCATGCGTGCTGCATATTGATAGCGACACTCGCTGATGTATGGACAGTGCAAGGATAGCAGGTCTTTAGCATCACCACTGGCATGGTTAATAAAAATAAACGACACTATTACATACACAAGCAGCAAAAAATAAGCAAATGGTCTAGCGCTCCAGTTCAGCATTTAGCATAAGTTGGGATGCTTTATAACCCCCAATAATAAATGAAACTTAATTCATATTATTGAACATAAATATGAACTAATTAAGGCTTCTTGAGAATTTAAAGCGAACGTCCAGTTAATCGGCATTTACTCATTATGAACTTGAAGGCAACGCTTGAATAATGAATAACATGCAGTTCACTCTCCTTCACCTTCATCGACGAGAATTAGACACACTAACCCTGGCCGTGAACCTGAACCGACTTGGGTAGGAATTAAATCATTAAGAATTGGGTAACAAGTTGCTACGTTCTCAATGCACGTAGGAACCTTTGAATTACCTGCCATGTAGAATTTTGAAAACACGCGAGTGCATAGTATGACTACTAAAGATTTCATTTGTAATGACTGAGAAAACTTTTTTTTAATATATAATTATTTTTTGATAATTATCACTTTTAGTACTGAGACAACGTCTTATTTTCCAAAATGTCTTCATCGGTTAGCATGGAAGCATAGCACTTGTAAAACTGTACGTAGCTCCTTTGCATGGGATGAATTTTCCCTCTTATAGAGCGTCATTGTACAGAATCTTTATGATGAGGACCATAGGCATAACCCTACAACTATTTCTTAATTGTAGAAAGTGGTTAAGTGTTCAATTTACCGCAATTAATTTCGGCTTGCCAGCGTCGATATAAAAGTTATAATTATTAAACAATGGCCATTGAGAGGCTTCTAAAAATTATTCTATATTTTACTTTATGTAATATTAATGAAAAATAATTAACACGCTGTGTTAGTGACATTTTTCAAGTCCATTACGTTCGTTAGCGAACATATATTATATACTAGCAATAGTAGTTCGTTTGCAACTACGACTGGACACATCAACGGTTCACCATGCAGAGTTTAAAACGCTTTTCATTACCATCATCATTAATAATATTTTAAATATTTTTGTCATTAAAATCTCAACGATTAAACGTACGACAAATTTTAACATTTTAATAAGCTTTCTGTGGGCGTTAGTTGAAAAGCAATGAAAATTTCAAGTCTGGAGGTTTATTGAACTTAATTTTTTAGAACAAGTGCAGAGTTAAAAATAAAATTGGCTTAGAGAACATGGATGAAAATTTAATGCTTGAATGAAACCTCAAATGTAGTTCGGCGTGGACGTGTTGTTAGGATCGCCAGGATTGGAGCAACTAGATGGGGTTCGAAACCCGCAACTAATTTTGAAATCTATTGTCGAAATTAATAAAGAGGCCAGGTGGAAAATAAGCATGGCGACTAGTCACTACATTGCCTAATCAAAGCTGACACCATTGAAAATTGTATATTCCAAAACAATAAATAATAAAAATGATACCACTATTTTATTCTATAAACCAACAAGATTAATTCCAGTCAATCCGTCAGCGGTGTCCACAGTAGCTCATTTGACTGCGCACTGCAGGCTAAATTAACCGGCTCGAGGAAGCAACCCGGAAGCATAAGAGCGGTGTTCCACTGGCGGGCGGAGCGCGTCTGAGTTATGGCGTCGGTACTGAGAACATCCGCAGCGCTGCCGGACGCGTTCCCAGAAAATGAGGAGCGGAAACAACGATGCTTTGAAACGATGCTCATTTGACATCGTTTCCTCATTCTTCCAAGGCCAGAGTTACCATGGAAAAGGTTAACAAGTTAACAATGATTACGTTGGTTAATAAATATTTTTTTCGTTTGTTAGGTTATGAGGTTCGTTACGAACGCCTCGGAACCATTCACAAAAGTATGGAAATGTGAAATATCGATATGGCATTTTAACTAGCATTGTGAAGAGCAGTGAAATGATTTAATTTATTTTAACAATAATATGCGTTTACATTTCATTATTCTGATGTAAAGAAATAACGCATGAGATGCAGCAAATTGAGATCAAGGCAAATTAAAACTAGGAAACGTATATTTAACTCGCGAACTTGACCTCTGCGGATATTGTGCAAAGCTTACAAACGCTCAGCATTCAACTCAATAGCTTACGCGGCGGCAGAATATCTGTTCGGCGAGCGGGCAAAAGAAACGCGACTCATTGGCGTCTTGGAACTCGACCAAAGTGAGGCTATGAGTGAAAGCGTCCGAGCGAGTGGTAGAAATATTGATGATACATCCATGTATAAAACAATATAACTCAGTACTCACTGCAGTGAGTGACAGAGAGCGCATTTTCTCGTCGACAAAACGTGAAGTCACGGACAGACAGACAGACGGACGGATAAACGGACGGACGGACATGGCGCGCACAATAGCGCCTTTTTCCCATAAATGAGAAAATGCGCTAAAAAGAATGAACTGAGCTATGTATGGTACCAATAAAGTAAGGATATTTAACTAAAAATTTAAAGAACTAGGTTGGAAATGAATGGTTAATGCAAAAGGCCATATGATCATACTCTATAAATATACCGTCAGCATTTGACTTCTGTTATATGTTACATAACCCGGCGACCACGATACAATATATTTTAACTACAAACTACCTCATAATCATGTTCAATTAAATGTTTAATGGGATTATAATTCCTTTCCGTGAGATATTATTTAAGTTATTAGTTTTATTAGTATTATTATTAGTATTTAAGTTATTAGTTATTTATTCCGTGATTAAGTACAGTTCAGCGAATGAAAAAATATTTTCCCGCAGAAACACTCGTGTACGTAAAGTCTTACTAAATGAAATTTGATGAAATAAGCAAACAACAGAATAGTCTAGATGATTATTAGATTTTAGACAATTGTGATTAAATTAGACTGGCTATAAGCCCCTTGGACCTTTTCTTACGCGACACGTGGTCTAATGAAGGCGCTCGTGAGCAGTGAAGGTGTGACGTTAGTTAGGCTCAAAGATGAGCGCTACTCATCCAAGCTGAGGGCGAGAACCAACGGTCAGGCTACGGGACTCTATGGATGTCAGATCCTTTTGTGTATATGTACATGTGTATATTCAGAAAATATAATGCTGATTATATAAAAATGAAATTTAGAAAGTTTACACAATATATCAGACAGGTTTATATTATATAGATCTAGAGTAATTTTAATGTCCGTTAGAAGGACTCAGGAAGTCAAACAAGAAAAATGTTAGAACATTTTGAAAATTTATTCATATCAGTTCCGTTTTTCCCCAAAGTCCCGGTTTGGCGCCAACATAACAATGCCTCCTCGCGTATCCTAACCTAACCTAACCAGCCCGGCGCATAACGGATGTTGCTGGGAGCTCAATGCCACAACTGCTGCCTGACGCGCGACCTTCACCTTGATGCTGGGGTAACGTTAGTCCCGCGCCCGCCATGACGTTTGTGCGCAGTGACGTAACAAATGTTGACAGGACGACCTTCCGTGGTGGTGTGGCTCTGTATAAAAGTGGCGGGAAGCATCAGGCAAAACATCAGTGCCTGGTAGCTTCATAGCAGTATTGGACATCTCATCCAAGCAGCGAAGAGTGAAGGCACTGCAATAACTAACCCTGACATTAGTCAGCTCGAGCATCGAGAACAAAAACTGAACTGGTTTAACACAAAATTAAACACACGAGCTAATTGTTTGAAATTACAATTGTGAATAACGCCACACGTTTCAGCAAACAAAAAATTAAGACAACATTCAAGAACTTGTTACCTGATTGCTCTTTAATTGAAAAACGGACAATCATCGAACAATATGTCACCATATCTGATCAAAGAATTCCTCGCTTTAGCGGTTTTCTTCGCGACTGTCAACGCAACAATAAACAGTGAGTAATTTGGCTCAAGCAAGTGCAATAATTAATCATTAATTACTATACGCATAAGTTAATTAACTTAATCTGATTGAGAAATAAGCTGGACTGGGAAAAATTGGAAACAATCCGGATTTAATTAAATAAAAAATTGTAGTTGTGGATTCAAAATATTTCTTTAGCATTGATTTTTGAGATTATTTTATAGGAAACATCCATGCTTTGAGCTAGATAAATAGGGTTGGTTATACCGAATGGACGCACTTCATTGATTAATTTAAACCAAAATAAAGATTGATCCATTTTAACCTGAAAGTTAAAATGAGGGATCGAAGGTCTCATTTATGCAAGCTGCTTAACACAAACGAATACCATCAACAGTCCATTTTCTCAACTATCTTATGGCATTACCATTGGAAAAATTACACTATTAGGCCGCGAAAGCTCATCAAAAGTTTTCATGGCATGGCTCTACACCATTTTTCTCATGCCATCGCCACTAATGGCGAAGCTATACACTAAGGCTGCTCATCAACATTATCGATCCTTCAACCTTGATCTAGAGCCAGCGCTTCCTGACTTACAGAGTCGGCATTACGCCATACTTTAGCTTGCCTGTCATGATCCCTTCTCATCTGCAGCAGCCTGCCTGCCTTCCTCAATGTGCGCATATCAATAATTATTGCTTCCTGAATCTGCTGTTGGAACGTCCAGAATAGCCCTTAGTCGATGCACCTGTACACGAATAGAACACAAAGTCCGGGAGAAAAATGTGTGATTATTTCAGTTGCGACAAGGGTTTTGATAAATTTAGATGGAAATTTCTGTTTGCCATGACCTAAAGTTTGAGAATATGTAAAATAATCGTTATTCTGCTTATGGCTAATCATCATCACGACTCACGAGTCGCTCGGTTCATTAATTAAAATCATGTTTGTATCAACGATGAATCAGCTGATATTATTTTTGGTCAAAATTACAACAGTTGAGTGACGAATTTACTAAAATTCTCACTACAGCTCAAAATAATTTGTTTTTAGAGTTGATCATTGTCACCTAGTCACCTCACCTAGTGCCTCATTTGATGATCAAACCCGATAATGAATAAGTATAAAATATATGGATAAAATGCTTGCAGTCACGGCACTGATTTTTCTCTTCTAGTGGCTGATGTGGCCTGTGGACGCGCGGTCATGCGAACTTCTCGCGTCAAAGGAGGACAAGACGCCAAATTCGGGGAGTTTCCTTGGATGGTGTCCATCAGGATCAACGGAGGACACTTTTGCGGAGGATTACTAATCAACAACAAATTCGTCCTGTCCGCTGCCCATTGCACCCTGAGGTGCGTGTCTATTGCTGACGTAATGATATTGATTTATTAGCGAACTTCTTTAGCGTACATGACACATAAGTCGCCACAAAACTTATTTTATGAGCGGAATCGAAGTTAAACTTTCCATTTCCAGTAACATCTGAACAGCATCGTAGTTTTTTGTTTAAAAAAGCTATAATTTCTATTTTTCATCATTATATAATTGTTGTTGTTAGTGAGCTGCGAGTGAAATCGGAAGGTAATCCTGCCATGAATTATGTTCATTAATGATAATTCACAATTAATTTAATCCAATAATGTTTATTCATTGAACACTGACAATGGTTGTTTTTCGTTTCCAGACGTCCTGAGAAATACGTGACCGTCGTGGTGGGCGAGTACGATCTCTTGAAAGAAGAAAAGACTCCGCCTGAGCAGATCATCGCTGTCCATAAAATTTACAATCATGAAAATTTCACTAAGGTGAGCAAGTTTTACTGCAATACTGAAAATATTGACAGAAATTTGCAGTGTTCAAAATTATGGGCGTTCAAAATAGCGTATGTTTAGAACTCGAAAGACACTAGCATATTTGAATGACATTTTTTATTTATCTTAACTGAAAAATTTAATCGATAAAATTGTGAAGTGTCCTCTCGTGTTTGCCTCAATTCAAAGAGAAGTGAATATACCTCATTCATACAATGCAGCTTGAATTTATTTATTGGTACAGTATTATTTACTTGTGTGAGATTTCATTCTTCATTGTTGGCCTGTAACCGACTTCCAACCACCTGGCCACTTGCCGATTTCGGTCAATTCCAACCCCAGACATGCTGCTCCAATCTTGATGATCTTAAGCAATCATATATCTCTAGCTATCGTATTTTGTTTCTCTTTCCAGCGGTACATCGACGATATTTCGTTGCTGGAGCTGAAAGAGCCCGTGGTTTGGAGCAAGAACATCAGGCCCATGTGCCTCCCTGACATGATGATGGACGGTACCGACAACCCACTCGACAACACAGCCGCCACACTCGCCGGCTGGGGGTGGACGGACGAACACTCCAAGGGTGTGTATCGTGTGAATAATTTCATTAAATTAAGAAAGATAAGGATGGTTAAGGGATTAAAGTTAATATTGAAGTCAATACGACTTGAATCCGTATGTTTGGACTTGAAACCCGCGTAGTGGGACTTATGCTAAACATCACCTACATTATTAACATCTAAATATTAATTACAATTATTTTATTCTTTAATCAGGTGGAGTTCGTGCAAATATCCTCCAAAAGACTGACGTAAGAGTTGTCTCAAAAGATAGTTGCCAAGAGTCGTACGTTAAGGAAACCGGCAAAGCCGTCGGCGAACCCCAAGCTATCGTACTATTCGACACCCACCTGTGCGCAGGAGTTCCCGATGGTAGCAGAGATGCTTGCCAGGTAATCCATTACATCATATGTTAAAAACATAATATAACTTATGAGACTCATTCCGATCTACCTTATAACACTGGAGCATGTCTAGATGTAGAAGAAAAACCCCTGCCCTATTTTTTGACAGCACCATTAAAAATTACACTTAGGTACTCGACATACGAATCCACCCACGCGACACAGCTTTACTGACAATTTCAGAGCACCTCAGAATTAAAGCAACGGCTCCATATGAATATAATTCAATCATTTTAATGAACTATATAATTAAAATAAATATAAAGCCATTTTATCGTTTCTCCTGACAGGGTGATAGTGGTGGCCCCCTGATGTCTCGTGACAAGGAAGGCCGAGAAGTTTGTGTAGGCATCGTGTCGGCCGGCATTGGGTGCGGCAGGCCAGGCTTGCCTGGACTCTACACCAGAGTCAGCAGGTATACCAACTGGATACAGGCAACTGTGAACGCCGCAAACGCTTGAATTAATTAATACCAGCAGCTCATACTTTTCTGGCTGGCTATTATTGAAGGCATGGAAAACTGAACACCATTGTTTCTGTCTGAAATTAAAGGCAGGGAAAGGAAGAAGGTGAAAAGCCGTTCAAAAGATCTTTAAATATTATTTCAAATTTAATGAGAAGCGTTAACGGTTCATAACAATGTCTTTCTTTATTATAGAATAAATAATAATTCAGTCCTTTTTTAGCCAAGCTGCTATTGCCCCAAGTTTGAAATCATGAAATAAATTCCCGAGACTTATGCGCGATGTTATTCACTTCTAAATTTCTAGCTTCCATGACATCGAACTTCATGTCGCGCAATACCAGTAGATTTAACTAAAGAGTTATAAGCTTTTAATTTTGCTCACTTTTTCAACTTCAATCTGAAAATAATTTTATCATAGTTTCGGCAGTTTATTTCAAAATAATGATTTTCCTAACCCTAAATTATTTCTTGTTAAGGATCTCAACTGATATTGTACATTCCGTGTTATTCCGTAAGGCCTCATCAATATTATTATATTCATTCTTGCCATGTTGTTCGTTTATAAGAAGCTCAGGTTCTAACGTTCAGTTCTTGCACGCATGAATGGTTAGAGCATTATTAATTGAAACGCTTATTTGTAGTAAAATTTCAGGAATGTACAGCGACGAATGTACGATTTACATCGATTTCCATGTTAATAGATTCCTACTCGATTCTCATTTTTTTGCGAGACCTTTTAAAGTTCTCTAGAGATTAATGAGCTCGCTTTGGAATCACGATAGGACTGTGCTATTTTCTTAAGATTATAAGTCAACTGTTGACTAGTTTATATATTTTATTATTACCTTATTTTAATGTGCATTGCAATTCAATTTGTTTTTTGATGTAAGAGGCTGGACTGCGTTGTATCAATGCGAGTGTCTCTCATTATTAATATATTATTAAGTCAGCTTGAAAAACTCATTACAACTTTATTTGTTAGCGTACGCTGCCAAACACAGTGTCCAGAACACCGGGCGACGTTGTTTGTTATGCTACCCAATTAATTAATAAGTATGACTTTTATATCATTATATCTGGATCGATAAATTATGTATATAGGGACTTATTATTTGTTATTCGAATGCAAACACTTAGAATATTTGTCTGTTGACACTTATTACAGGCACGAATTCATTATTAAACTTTCGATCCATTAAACAAAAGCTCCCGCAGTTTGTTGATGCAGAAAACATATGTCAGCTACTATCGTATGAAATGTGTTAATATAGAAGAGCTTCACAGCCAACACACGTTACTTGTTTTGACTTGAACTCGATTATTAATGTTGGTTGTGGGCATTGAGTGCATGTTGGTTTTATTGAGTGAATTCGCAAACGAATTGAATAAGTGATTACTTTGATCTCAGCTCTGTAGCTCTTATATGTAAGAGTGTTGCTCCTCTGAACACGTTATATTGTACCTAAATATTTTAAGTCGTTGCTATTGTTTAATAGTTTTATGTGTGCTTTAACGCCAATGTATATAGGGGAAAGTCAGCTTAATTATTACTTGCAATAAAATCATAAATAATTTAAAATGTTTCCTTACAATTCCTTGATTTGCAATTGTACTGACAAGAAAATATTTAAATTGATTCGGTGAATAACAAACTTGATGTGACCAGCTGAAGTACAAAGCATCTATACGCTCTTCGAATTGGCTTTTTACCGGCAAACATTCTCCTGCTTGAATATGTAAAAAAATACAACGTTGAACTTTTCCATCGACAATGTGAAGATTATAATAATAATTGACCATTTTAATTAAAGTAAAGAACATAATTTGTTCGATTTAGTCCGGGTGATCAAGCCTAGTCAATAATAATTAATTTAAAAGTAATCGATGAACTCATTAATATTTATTAAATTAAAACTGAAAAAAGGGAATTTTTTATTGAATTAGTCGAAAATTTGATGCTAAAATACAATTTTTTCACCAAGTTTATGGAAGTGAAGGAAAATTTCATTTAAAATAATTTGTAGAAGGCAAATGTGATCAAAAAAAGTTTGCTTGCGTCCAAAATTTGTGTCTAGTCTATATTTTCTATACATTAATACAAGAGGACAAGAAAAATATTCTGAATATTTTACTGAATAACATTCAATTCTTGAATAGCAGCTTTTAATAATTAAGATCTCCAAGACAGGGGGAAGCTCTAACAAATATTAACGAGAAAAAAACACCCACAACGTTCACGTGCTAACAATTTATTATTTCATGTAATAAAAGACGAGGAAAAATCGTTTCGTCTCCATTCCTCGTTGGGTATAAATATGGCCGTAATTAAGAATAGATTTTCTATAATCGTTTTTATCGTTAGAAATTATTGTCACAAACACGTCTTCGAATATATTGTCTTTCTAAATAATTTGTCCCGTTCAAAACGCTTATTAATTGTTGATCTCGTTTTGCGAGAACATAATTACCATTACGATATTTGAGGCTCACGCGCACGCAAAGAGACAATGGCCCTTATAAACAAATTATCATATGGAATTATAAGTAATAATCGCTGTTTACATCTATTCAACTGTTGAAGAAATGTGAGTTGGGTGCAAAAAAAGCTTGTCTATCTCTGCAGATGATGGTAAATGGTCTACGCGACATTTAGGTTTAAACACATCAATCTATGATTTCAGTGGCTGATATACAAGTGGAAAGCAATCTTATCATTAATTATTAATAGTAGCAGATATATTATTTGTGATACTAAGACAAGACGGAGGGGTTTGTTTAACCATTTAAAAATTTTGTACGGGATAACAAGAAAGCAACGGCTTGATCATACTTACCTTCGTCGTCTTACGTTAGAAGAGGATATAAAATATGAAGAAAATTCAATGATGTTAAAAATTTGTTTCAACGAATGCAATTGAATGAACTGTAACCTTTAGTACAACTTGATTTCGTTGAATATATTTTATAAGTTAATTGAAAAAATTAATGTTTGTGAATAAAATTTATCACCGCGTTGTCCAATCAATGATTTTTTTCGAAAGCTGACATTATTCTATCCATATTTTGTTCAACAGATGCATAATAATAATAATGACCTGAGAGAGAAGAAAGATGACAGTCATTGTGCTTACACGCAGTAATAGTGTCGGCAACATACTGCAACATCATAATTAATAACACTTATTAAAGGCACATGCAGAGATTTAATGTTCATGCGCTGGACAATGAAACTGTATAACCGTTCTTTCAGTGGTACAATCTCACGAAAGTTCAATTGAGTTGCAATCCTGTTATAAATGATGCGGTAGCGAGAGAACAAACTGACTGATGACGACTTCTGCGCTGTTGAGAGGTCGCGTATTTTATTAGATCGGTCAATAGGCAAAATTTGTAACAGCAGTGAACTGGATTCTATATTATATCGGAACAGTAATAGTCGGGGCGGCCAGGACACTGCGGCTGTAGTGGTACCAGAGGTGTCAGAAGACTAGTACTTGTTGAGGTGGCCATGGTCAAGTACTAGTAATGTGGCTGTAGTGGTACTAGAGGTGTCAGAAGACTAGTACTTGTTGAGGTGGCCATGGTCAAGTACTAGTAATGTGGCTGTAGTGGTACTAGAGGTGTCAGAAGACTAGTACTTGTTGAGGCGGCCATGATAGGCCTACTGCGACTGTAGTGGTAGTAGAGGTGTCAGAAGACTAGTACTTGTTGAGGCGACCAGGATACTGTGGTTGCTGTGGTACCAAAGACTCCACCTCAGTGCCCTCCTTCAGTGACTGGTAGTGAGCCACAGGGCACATCCACCAGTAAACGTGGATCACTGCAACACAGAACACACTAACCTCTAGATCCACATCAGTTTCCAGAAGAATGATGTTAATCGTGGTCGCTATATCATAGAATGTACGATGAATTGCTCGAGGTAGGTTAGAGAATGTTTCACGTCGTGGATATCAGTGAATGAAAGAATGACGTTACTAGCGGAGAACATCAGTGGATGAAATAATAACGTTACCATCGGTGGATGAAAGAATGAATGTTACTATTGTTGATATCAGTGAAGGATTGAATCATGTTATTCAGATTGGAGATAACACTGATTACACGGACAACAGCAATATCCAGAACATAGCGTATGTTATGGAGATAAATATTAAATTTCAAATTTTGTCAAAACTCCTCTGACTGAAGACATATTTCGCTGCATATAGATTCTACTCAACTCGTATGACCAAATTCAGCGCTAATTTCATTTTTGTAAATAAATAAGCACCAGTGATAGGACCTGGCACCAAGAGCTTGTGAAATATACATGTACGTCACCCACCGAAGGCAATGATCTGCAGGAGGCCGGCTATGATGTAGGTGCCGCCCTTGGATAGCACGGCGTCGTCCTTGCCGTACACGAAGAGGAAGATGATGCCCCCGAGCTGTGCCGCGAACGGTCCGAACTCCAGCACCACCCACGGCAGCAGCAGCGAGCGCAGGTTCTGATGGTAACGGCATTACGGAGAGTCAATAGGTATGGCATTCAGGGTCATAAATTCTATATTGAATTTAAATATCAGGTTAAAAGTAAAAATGATTAGTCGCTGCCAAGTACAATGTAGTGGATTTGTGTGCAAAAACACGCGTCTATATATTCAGTTAGTAATTTTTGTCGCGTGCGTGATGGCAGTGTGTTATTGAAAAATTTGCGTATGTTATTGATAAACTTGCGATTTAAGCAGAACAATCACATATGCATACTTAAATGCACACTATGAGTTGAAATAAAAAGTAATTGATTTAATGTTATATAATATCATTAGTATATTAATAATTATTTCAATAAATAATAAAGTGGCAACGGACGACGTGGGTTCTTACAGTGCAGGCTCCGTAGGTGAGGAAGAGAGACGAGAAGGTGTAGAGCGCGTAGAACACCAGAAGAACGATCACGACGGTCTGCAGGTCTGTAGGAGGGAGGTGTTAATCATCAACGTCTTAAATGTTTTACAAGTTATTGAAAGCACCCACTAAACTTACAATCGCACCAACTAAATTGAAAATCGCATAAACTAAATTAAAAACGCACCCACTAAATTGAAAATCGCACCCACTAAATTTATATTTGCAGCAATTAAATTGAAAATAGCACCAAATAGATTAAAAATAGCACTCATTAAATTCACAGTCGCACCCACTAAATTTACACTTGCACCATCTAAATTTTCAATCGCACCCGCTAAATTTGCAATCGCACACAATACATTTACAATCGCATCAACTAAATTAAAAATCGCACACGCTAAATTTACAACCACACCTATTAAATTTAAAGTTGCTCCCACTAAATTTACAATCTCACCCACTACATTAATGAATGTTCTTTTGATGCAGCATGAATTGAAGATGTGCGATATATTACGTTAAACTGTATAAGTACTGTTGTAAAATAACACGCTCCTAAGCAACAATCTGGTGGTTGGATACAGGATTAAATATTCATAAAAATTGAATTCTCCATCACATGGCTGATGTATAACGAAAAAAAACATTATCAATATATGAAACTGTCGTTTTACGAGAAATAACTCGTTTTATCTCCTCGCGTTGATTAACACGTAGCAATGAAGTTTAAGTAAAGAATAACTCAAATTACTTGAGCTGACGATGTTATCGAAGACTCTCTGTAAGTGAGAGCTTCTTGATGAAAAAAAAATTTCATTTAATTTATTTTCGTTTTTCATCTGCTTGAAGTTACGTGGCGGCCAAAGCAAATGAAATAATTACGAGTCTCGTTTCATGTCACTAACTTCTTGAAAAATAACTCCATATCTGAAAATTTACCTCTCTAATTCCAAGGTGTACCAAAGAAGAAAACTTACGGTTGACAAAGTTGTTGAAGCCGATGATATTGTCGACGATGCCGAGAATGCTGGTGGCGTTAGTGGTAGTGGAGTGCGTTGCGTCGTAGTACTGCTTCAGAGCGGCTGTGAAGCTGGGCAGGTTGATCAGGGTGAAGCTCAGAGACACGCATATCAGGAACGAAACGATCTGGACCATTACAAGGAGAGATAATTATTACTCATTTTTCAGAACCTAAATATTTGTATCATTGTGAACTGGAGTATAGGATTACGCTCATGAGTTAAAGCTACACACTTGGTGAGTAATGAGCAGTACACCAATAAATGACATCGGTTAGAAGCCAGATTGCAAGCAAACTTATTGGCCCTTGTGAAAGATATGCCATATCTAAGCAAAATGTCCGTGACTTTGTCAACTGGCTTCGTGATGATAATATGTGTATAGGCACTCACCAAGCAGATGATAATATGTGTATAGGCACTCACCAGGCAGATGATAATATGTGTATAGGCACTCACCAGGCATATGATAACATGTGTAGAAGGCACTTACCAGGCAGATGATAACATGTGTAGAGGCACTCACCAGGCAGATGATAACATGTGTAGAGGCACTTACCAGACAGATGATGCCCACAGCTATGGACCCGTTCTTGGTGGAGAAGCAGCAGCAACACGTCGTCATCATCGCCATCTCTTCGTCTTCTTCTTCGTCTGAGTCCTCGTCGCCTGTCGATCATCAATTTTAATACCTTTACGTCAGCTCTACTTTTCTTAATTTGAATAGTAATGAATACAAATATCTATGTGCATCTTTTATGATGCGTGCAAATTTATTTGCAGCCCTATTTTTAATCAGCAGAAATGGGGAATATTAGAAAAAATTTATCAGTCCTTCAGATTGAAGTTGGGCTATTTAGATGCGACAATAGCGCTATATTGCGTCAATTTAAGGAATTTTGATCTACTTTGAATCGAATGATCCCTTAATTTAGTTGGATACGATGGAGTCGTGCAAAGCTATATACCACTATATAGACCAGCAGCTGTCGTGTTCATTTGTGCACCAGACTGATACAGCGCTAGCCTTTTGTTTTAGTCATTGTTATATCGTGCCCGTAACTATGATTTTTCTGGCCTTTAAATTGATTGAAATCCACCATACAATCAAAATTCACTAATAGTATGGTGTATAGTATAGTGTATGGTATTTTGTGTAGTGTATAGTGTATAGTATAGTGTATAGTATAGCGTATGGTATAGTGCACAGTATAGTGTATAATATAGTGCGTAGTATAGTGTATAATATAGTGTATAGTATATTGATGTCGGTGCTGACGAATAGGCCCGGAATACCAAACTACTTAATACCGAACTAATGCCCAACATTCGAGCTCCTTTGAATTCAACGTTTCTACTATTTTTGGTTAAGTAACCCGATTCAATCTGCAGATAAAGAACAAAAGTTTGCTAATTACAAGTTTTAAACATCAAATTTAGTGACAGCGTAATAAGACAAATCATGCATCCGGTGTTTGAAACTGAAAGTTTATTTTGGACTCAATCTGTTGGGATCACATTCCAGTACAAATTTTCTGTTGTTGAATGAGTGCGATCTTGATTGGTTTCTCGCTGAAATTTATTAAGACAAGTTTACACATAAGGCGAGTGGACATCAAACAACCAGATACCAGGACGTGCATACACAGAGCCAAGCTGTAGCGTAGAAAACTTTATTCAAGTGTAAACAGTGAAAATAACGAAAAATAATTTATCCATTGTGGAAAAATTGCTGATGATAATTATGAAAACGCCCCGAAAGCCTCACACAGCCCCAAACATCTACAGTTTGGATGTGAATATCAGTGTACATCTTTGTGATGCGTACAAATTTATTTACTGCCCTATTCCTAATCAGTAGAAATAGGGAATTTTAGAAAAAATTTAGTTTTCCTTTAGATTGAAGTTGGAAATTTAAGTGCGACAATAGCGCTACATTTTGTCCATTGAATGAATTTTGATTTATTATAAATTTAATTATCATCTATGCACAAAGATCCCTTAATTTAGTTGGATACCATGGTGTCGTGCGATGCCATATACCCGAACTTAGACCATCTCTAGCCTTAGATTTCAGCCATTGGTAAATTAATATATTATGCCCGAGACTATAATTTTTCTGGCATTTCAGTTGATTGAAATCCATCAAAAAATCGAAATTCACGAATAGTAAAGTGTATTGTATAGTGTATAGTCCATTGTATAGTAAGTGTATAGTATAGTGTATAGTATGGTGTCGTGTATAGTATAGTGTAGTGTAATGTATGGTACAGTGATGTCGGCGCTGAAGAATAGGCCTATAATACCCAACTATTTAATACCGATCTAATACCAACATTCGAGTTCTTTTGAATTCATTGTTTCTACTATTATTGGCTAATTAACTCAATTCAATCAGCAGATACAGAGCAAAACTTCGCTCACAAATAGTTCTAAACATAAATTTTAGAGGCAGCGCAATAAGGCAAATCATGCACCCGGTGTTTGACACTGAAAGCTTATTATGAACTCAATGTGTTGGAATCGCATTAACGTACAAATATTAAGTAATTGAATGAATGCGATCTTGATTCTTTTCTCGATGAAAATTATTGGGACAAGTTTACACATGAGGCAAGTGGACATCAAACAACCAGATACTTGACGTGCAAGCACAGAACCAAGCTGTAGCGTAGAAAATTTTATTCAAGTGCAAACAGTGAAAACAACGAAAAATAATTTGGAATCCATTGTGGAAAAATTGCTCCTGAGAATTCTGAAAACGCCCCAAAAGCCCCACGAGCCCCAAACATCTACAGTAGACATGAAATGGCACAAGAACCTCGGTATGCATGTCAATTTCTGGAGGGCATATCGAGAAGGCAAGGTTAATAATTCCTACTGACTTGTTTCTTCAGATGAATTTTACAAAAACAAAATCATTAGTGAAATTTTCGACCCCAGATTATCCAAATGCACTCAACAAAGGATTTTCACGTGTATATTGCAAAAAAATTTGGATAATACCAAATTTAATAAAACAAGTCAGAAACCACTTTCGTAAACAGAATAATGAGATGAATTGTGGTTACATATAGACGTCGGAATAAATTTTTTCGACATTTCTGAGGATTTTTAGATCTTAGAAAAGAGTTTCAGAAAAAATATTTCAGTTTCACTTCCAAGAACTGGATTACACATCTATAGAGTTTCATTATTGTGCAAGCAGCATTGATGGAAAAAATTAGATTTATTAATTTGTGTGTAACTGTTTGCAACACACGCCTAAAAAAGTTACGCTCATGGTTTATTGGCAAGAATCCAATTGATGACATGAAAAGAGGTTTGTTGTGAACGAATGGGTATCAGCACAAATAGTTTTCATCTGGGTCATAACATCGAACTAAATGTGCACAGCGAAAATTGGTATAAATACGAGTATCTTTACGTTCAAACACTTATTAATATACATGCGTCTAAAAGTTTGTGAACACATCACAATTCAAATGTCTTGGCCAATTCCAGGTTACAGTTCTAAATTTGGGGGTGTTGGGAACAGCGTGAAGACATCGAACACCGCAATGCATCATAAAAATAACGTTTTTTGGTTGAGTTTCTTGTGCAAGTATTAGGTTACACTGAACTTCGACTCTTGTAACATATATGCCTTTAACACAGTTTCCGTGAATTCACTTGTCAGTGCACACATTGAACACCGATATTCACATCACGCACTCGGGAACACTGGCCGAACAGGGAACATCCACGTCTCCTCATTCATCAGGTTCTTCTTTGTGAGTTGTTCCCGAGAACCATATGAACCGTCGCAGATTTCCTCACTCTCAATTTCTCCTTCCCAAGCTCTGGAGTTAGGATCGTGGTACACTGGAGGACCGTCTACAGATCCCGAGCTAGAGCGGCTGGTCCGTGTCTTGTACACGGGGGCATTCGATGGTAAGGCGTTGGGATCCATTGACGAGACGTCGTCGGGGTCTGACGTGCGTGATAAGTTATGTCGCTCGCGTACCTCCATGCGACGACCAAGACAAGATTCTGCTACCTCCTTATGAGGGTTGAGTGATGCCAACGACAATATTATATTGTAATGAGTTTAGGTAGGGTAATTAATTAAGTAATATTGTTTGATTTTCTTAATTTAATAACTTTCAGTTAGAATTGAAATCTGTAATAAAAATCTTTTCTCATGCATTATTGTACTATTTGAATTTCTAAATCACTAGACATTGGCTAAAATTCATGTGACACTAACTAGGCATACGTGAGTTCTAATTTCTTCCAAAGAAACACTTTTGCTTATTAACTTGAAGCTGCCTATTCATTTTCCTTTTTTTAGATATATAAGTTCTAGCGATAAGAATCATTAAAATTAAGGCAGTCCAAAATTCAGAATTGTTGTTCAGCTATCAGGCCGCATCTACTCTAATATAATTTAAATCCTTCGCGTCTATTTACCGAAGCAAGCGATTTACCACCAAAAATTCGATCTCTGAAACCGAATTTCATTACACAGCGAATTGGAAATTCAGTCATAAACTCACTCAAGCCCAAGTACCAGATGAACCCATCTTCTGAAACGGATCCATTACGGTAGCGAGTTTTCACATAGTCTAAAAGTAGTTCATCAGATGTCTATAGCTGACGACAAAATTTTTGTATGATAGTGAGCACTCATTGATCTTTGGATTAACAACGACGTTACGAAATTTTGTAGAGCGTCCTTGAGTCCAGTTTAAGGTGCCTTGCAGTTATACATCGATCGTACTCACACAAAAGGACTCAGAAGGATATAACTGTTCCAGTTATAGTCCTTTGCAAGGCGGTTATCATCAACCATCGATCTCACTTCAGAAATATAAGTTCTTTCGAGACCTGAAAAAATATCGTTCGCGAGTCTGTTCGAAGACTTAATACGTTATTATGTGACTTATTTACGCAAAGTTGCCTGCAGTTATTCATGCAACAATCGTGATCGACATAAAAATGTCATAACTGCGTCCGCAAGTTCGTTTTGTGTCACAGGGCAGACACTCATCGACCGCACCGACGCTTGGTGCAGTGATTACATACGCTACTGCGAGGTCATGTATAGACGCGCCTTCTACTCCTCATCGGGTCAAGCTGCCTGAAGATTGTCGGGAACAATTTTTATTGCATATCTTCAAATGTAGAGTGACGAATAATGAAAAAAATGAAAAAATCCCTAGTCTTTTGCTTGACCGTGAACATTCACAAATGCTATTGTTTATGTGAGGTAAAAGGCCTGCTTTCAATATAAGAAAACAGTAAAAATATTAAAATGGTAAAAAAATATTTTAATATATAAATTGGTGATAAGTAATGACCATTTGTTTCATGTTGACAATCTAGTTAAAAAAACGAAGAAGATGCTGCCTAGGTAAAAGGCCTGCTTTCAATATAAGAAAACAGTAAAAATATTAAAATGGTAAAAAAATATTTTAATACATAAATTGTTGATAAGTAATGACCATTTGTTTCATGTAGGCAATCTAGTTAAAAAAACGAAGAAGATGCTGCCTAGAAACTCGTTGCAGTGTTACAAACATGACATGCTGGCGTTTTGGTGACCTGCCATGGATACATTTATAATTTTTACTGTTGCTCACAATCATGAAAATTCTTCGCTTCCTAGAATTTTATATGAAATTAGTACTGAAATATTTCTCGATGTCCCAGAATCAGCATTAGACTTAGAGTTCAATTTAAATACATTATGATCGTAAAGGGTATAAGTAAATGTTAGGCGTTAATCCCGTAGACTAACGAACCAACAGTTTTTGCTCTCCGGAATTTATGGATACTATGTTAGCAAAAAATTCAGTCACCCGTTTAAACTATAATGCTTAGTATTATTCTTTCAGAACATTAACCCAAGAAATAATTTTGTTAGACTATCTGATCGCTAAATGCAATTGCGATAGAGTCCGCGACAGTGATGAAGATTGAGTGGAACCACCAACTATCATATCTGTACCATTTTTACCAAGTTCATTTGTTCAGCAGAAGTTATTAATGCACTTCAAGGTTTTGTAAGACCATGGTTGTTACAAAGACCTATAGGCAAGTGAACGAAGTTGATCGACCTGTTCCTTGGGCTCTTGGTGCGTCGGTGTTAATGATGACGAAGTGGTCGTCTCTGTCCCTCTTTGTGAAAGAGACGTCAATGTTTGTCTGTCTCTGACGCAGTTGTACTCGCATGATCTACAACTGATTAGTAAAAAACGTTTACGTTTAGTAATACGTTTGAGAAATGAGTTGTGGCAAAAAAAAAAAAAAAACATCAAAGATCAATCATGATCATCTCATGACCTGGCGATGTATATCTTCATATTTGCTAAGGTGGAAATTTGGCGATTATAAGGGTCTAATATTAGGTTGTAATTATGGCCTAATGAGTAATTTTAATTTGCTATAACGAAAATATTCCGGGAAATCCTAGAATAGTGAAAAGAATCATAATAGATTATTCATAATATTTTTTATCTGACCGGATCGTTGACAATAATCGTACCATAAATTGGGTACAAAAGAAAAAATATTTTACATTACTTCTTATGAACCAAAAATTTTCCAATCGATAACTTTTAGGCAAAAATTAAAACAGCCCAAAACACTGCACTAGTTATTAACATGATTATGTGTTATTCTTAATGATTACGTAATTGGTCAGGATCAAGCAAAAAAAGTCTTATCAGTTGCGGTAAATAATCATTATAAATGATTAGAATATATCGAGTCAAGTAATAATAATGCCGAATTAAATAAATCAAATATCCTAATTATTGGCTCTACTGGTTCAAGTAAAACTCTTTTGGTACAAACCTTAGCAAAAATTCTTGATGTACCTTTCACTATGGCAGACACAACTTCTTTGACCGAAGCTGGCTATGTTGGCGAAGATGTTGAAAAATATTGCTGAGATTACAAACAGCAGATTTTAATATAGCTAAAGCCCAACGTGGCATTATTTATATAGATGAAACAGATAAAATCGCAAAAAATCCGAAAATCCTTCTATAACAAGAGATGTATCAGGAGAAGATGTACAACAAGCATTAGCTGTATGGCCAAACCAGTTCTTAATCATTATTAATTTACGAATTGAATTGTTAAAACAAGGAAGAAATTTCGATTCATTTTGCACAAAAATGCTAGAGTCCAACCAAAAAATTTTCGTAGTCGTAAATGATCACTGAAAGAAATATTTCTCAATATCGAACAGAATTATTAAGCAAGTGAACAAATCGTTAAACTCATTGGCAAAATTCAGGCACAAATTTGTATGGAGTCTAAGAGCCAAGCCAATGCTTTATTGTTTTCTTTCAGCGCTCTGAAAACCAAAACATCTTTAAATTTCTTACTTTCTACGTTCCGATAGCATTATTTGTCTGAGAAGTTTCTTTAAATCCTGAATGCATAATAAAATGCGAGAAAAGTTATCTTTGTCGTAAATGAATAGTACTAAAAGTTTGAGGCACTAACAATTTTTCCTGCCGAGTTGAACTCTATTTTTCAAACATTCGACATGCTTGGCATATCGTTGCAGCCGTTACCACTCAGATAATTTTTGCCGCATTTCCAGCAGTGAAACGAAAATCAGAACATAATTTATCAAAATTCTCAACAGAGACAGTGTTTAAGTCTTGTTCTGCCGTTCCCGTTAATTGCCCGTGAACACAGACAGAGACACGCGATTGCAAGACGGTAGCCACGACGCGACTGAGCGAGCGTGTGTGGACCGAAGGATTGTACAGCACGACGCTCGGTCCACTCTTTGTCATGGCAGGGACTGCAATCAGGTAATTGATCAGATTCTGCTCGTAATTGAATTGTTTGCCATTCAATATCAAATAGCTATAACTTTTATAATTTATTTTTCACTCTTTCCATCATTTTGAGCTATCGTGACACTAACAGTTCCATAGCGTAGAAGCCTAAGTGTTTATGGAAGCTTGTTTTCTCAGGTCTTTTCTAACCTAAGTAACAAAACATTTTAACAATATTAAAGATCGTCATATTCATTATCAAGATAACTTGTAAATACCAAAAACTATTTATTAAGCATTTGTGAAGTTAATTTTTGCTTCTAGTTCTTCTAACCCTTATTCACATTTATGTAAATTTGGACATAACATTCACATTTTTATGTAAGAAGGAAAATTAATATTTTTGACATTCTATGGCAATGTTATTGATTCCTCAACATGATCTCATAAATTTGGACTTTCTCGTCGTACTTTAAAATTGTCGCCGTACAGTAAATGATGAACACAATACTTTCCCTAAAAATATTGAATTTTTTTGGTCCTGAGTTTCATTACAAGAGTTGAGTAAGATCTTACAGTCGTATGCTGAATCAAGGAATATGCCTAATGATTATCATAATATTATTGTCGGTGCATGAATGATAGGTCAAGGGGTGTTTTAGCGCATTTTCTCATTTATGAAAAGATTTCCTTCACAAAGTCGGCCTGCAATCGACCTTCTCGCCCTGCCGCTGCATAGCTTCTAATTGTGCGTATTCACTCAGTCAAATATATGGGTAATAATTTCCAAATATTGAAGCACTTTCCTACCCGCAGCACGTGCAAAAAGCGAACGTATAGGGCCGATACGCCTTTTTGCCTGTCCAAACCGAGTCAGGATGACCTAAACAGAGAAGAACTGCGTAGATATTTGGACAAAGCCTCACTCATTGCTTTGAGTGTGCTTTGCAGTTTAATACACCGCCAGCCAACCATCCATACCATACAAAGGTTTCGGTATACAAGCTATACGAATAATAGTTACGAATGTTCTGTACAATACGAGTATTAAACACCATTTTTAGCGAGTAATAATCATGCTTGTGATTGTGCATTTGCTGGCTAAGTGTGTGCTTAGCATGTGTATGTGCTGGTTAAGTGTGTGCTTGGCATGTGTATGTGCTGGCTAAGTGTGTGCTTAGCATGTGTATTTGCTTAGCATGTGCATGTGCTGGCTGAGTGTGTGCTTAGCATGTGTATGTGCTGGTTAAGTGTGTGCTTAGCATGTGTATGTGCTGGCTGAGTGTGTGCTTAGCATGTGTATGTGCTGGCTGAGTGTGTGCTTAGCATGTGTATGTGCTGGCTGAGTGTGTGCTTAACATGTGTATGAGCTGTTTAAGTGTGTGCTTGGCATGTGTATGTGTTTGATACATACATGTACCTAACATGTGTGTGAGTTTGCGAAATATTCATCAACTTTTGCTTTGTATCAATAGATAGATCTTAATAAAGGACATTATTGCATTCTTTACTTATCAAAACAATTAAATTGTTTTATTATTTTGGATCTGTAATATTGAAGATTTATTTTTTCCTCAGTTTATTCTCTCCTCAACTATAACAACAAATGAAGGTATTCAAGCGTCTGTACAGCCCATATAAGAAGGCCCATTGTACATTGCACTGATGACACGCAAGGCTAGTAATGGCTTCGTTAGCGTATTGGCTAACGAACATTTGTTGCGTTAGCACCACTAGGACTTGCAATGATAATATACATGGTCCGTTACCATGACGACGAGTCAACAGAGCATCAACAGAATGCACTTCTGTTTGATATACACATACAACAGACGTGTTCCTCGAGCAAACATGCTTGCCTTGTCTGGAGATCGATCGACTGCCATGTAAACTTCGGAATTATGATTGAATCTAACAAGAGAAACAAATTACATTTATTCAACATTGTAATTTTTTTATTATGGCTATTACATCTATGACAATAATTCATTCATATGACAAAGGAAACCAAGTGAACGATCCTTCATTAGAAACAACGCGCAAAATACCTGTTTCGAGGCTTATTTATTTCTCAGAAATTTCTCCTTTCTAACAAATTTCTTATTTCTTTCTAAGAAATTCCTTATTTCTTTATAAGAAATTCCTCATTTCTTTCTAAGAAATTCCTCAAAATTCATGTTCCGAGGTTTATTTCTCCCTAAAATATTCCTCAGTTAGAGAGAGCGTGCGAGCTTACGTTAATACGTAGAGCTTGGAAATGCAGCGACGAAGAATTTTCTCTTTCTTTTATTTTCACAGCGCTAAACTTGAACAAAAAATGATTTAACACAATGAAATAAACTAACTATGGCCCAGAACAATGAAATAAACGAACTATGGTTAGAAAATAACATGAACCTAAGGAACAAATTGAAAGATGAACGAAACGCTTAAAAATGGGAAATTGTATACCAGATGACTAACCTCAACGATGTGGCTATAGGACATTGACTTGAGGCAAAGAAAAAAAAAACGTTAGTTGCTTAAGCAGAATTTTGTTACATATCACTTTGCAGGAATTAACTGAAAAATATAAAATACTGTACCAACAATATGATCATTTGAGCTCACCGTTGATATTGGAGTACATATTGAAGTACTAACTGTCAGTAAACATGACTGTCTGTATTCGTTGGTTTTGAGTATTGACTGTCTGTAAACGTTGATATTTGCTCAAGTTATTTGATCGTCATCAATAAACGGATCACAAAGAATCAATTGGCGCCTCAGAACACGAGGTTAAATGCGAACGAATTATTCCGTATTTTACGCATCGTGTAGTGGCGCGGCGTATAGTCAAATCGATCACTGCAGGCGCCGTGTGATATACGACTTCGAAATATTGCTGTTCATTTTAGGTCAATTTACTTATTAACTAATATTGTTAGTCCTAACCTGAATAAAGGCAAAAATTTTTCATATTGGTCCAAATGGTGGCGTAATAACAATTTTTTAACGAGATCGCTATATTAATTGGCTCGGCTTCAACTCATTGCAGGGAGCTACGCAGAAGCGAGTAAATGGCAACAAATAATGTATAATACTTTTATTTTCAGCAAACGTGAGCTTCTAGGAGCCAGTTAAGAAAGATATTGCACGCCGCGGCCCCACTTCGAAAATTTGATATTCAATTTTTTATTGAAGGCTGTATGGCGTGGGGCGTGCTATTTTAAAAATCGCGATAGCTACTGTTTTGACAGGCTCGCAGCTATTTATTCCGCAAGCTTCATCTCTACCATAAGAGGAATTATTGGGCGGGCAATCAGCTCAGACTACTATACATTTTTTTCTTCCAGCGTGTTTGCCCACGAAAAGGAAGACGAAGTAATTGTGTTGCTGTGCATGTAGGCATATACCATATACCAAGCAATAGTGATCGGAGTCATGCTCAATCAAATAACAATAGTTTGCAGGTAAGCTCGAAGTTAAAGAATATACAAATATAAATAGAAATGAAGCGAAATGTGTAGAAGAAATGGGTGTGCAGAAGGATGAAAGGTACAGAAAGAGCTACTGTTTGTTAGCTTAGGTCACTCCATCTTAGATTTGAAATGAGAATTACAACAATTCCGAAACCCTATTTACAACATATCTTAAATTTAAGAGACATAAAATAGATTCTTTAATCAATGTATTCGCTCTTTCACTCAATAAAAACCTCCAAATTGAAATTAACGGAACGAAATTAACTCGTTTCTCTAATTGTTCAGTTCTAGTGGACTGTTTACTTCATTCCGTACCGGTGCAGGGAATGGTGCCTCATGTCACAGTCGTCTGCGCGCGCTGATTTGTCTCATTAGTCAAGTCCAATATTGTTATTAATGTGCTCTGTCATCCTGAAAATTATTTTGAAAATAATTTAACTTCAATTTATTGCATAGTTGTTTCAAATCTTTGCAAGAAATAGCTTCAAAATGAGGTGAGCGTTTATGTTGGACTTGCGCACCAAATTCAAACTACAAATTCGGCAAAAGCTACTTTCAAGTCAACTTTAAAACTGCATCTGCTTGTGCCTATGATATATTTTGTCTATATTTATTGTTTCTGTATAATTTTAGTTTCTGATCTTGGATTAAAACTTAAAAGGCACATTTTCTCTTAGAAATTTTTGAAACCAGCAATGAAATGATAATTTTTACATTTGAACTTTGAAGTCAAACTCAAAGTTTAAAGATGCATTTCTTGGAAAAATGGGCACAAATGACTTATTGGCTAAGAATTTTGGATTTGTTTCAAATGTGGAATCTTGATTCTTAGCAATTATTCATGATTTACAATTTATACTCTGAAATGTGATCAAGAATTAGTATTTTTTGGCTGAGGACATTTTTTTTTCACACCTGAAGCATTTTGAATGATATAAAAAATTATTATTTCCAACTTGAAAAATTAGACAAGTCATCTCACTTGTTATTGAAATCTTGCAGTGACAATACAATTTAGTTAATAATATAATTTTATTAGTCATATTTCAAAATTTATGAAAAATTTTTTCAGCTTCACAGCTTCAATTTTTTTTCTGGATTGCTAAAGTTTTTTTTATAGCTTTGACTTTATAAATTTGTTCATGCAATGGATAATTAATTTATTCTTTACTGTATTTCAATTATTTATACAGCACTTAGCAGTCTCTATTTCCTTAGCATTCCCTTAATACCAGGAGCATGCACTCTAATTTATCTTTAAAATGCCTCGTGTATTGTAAATGATACAACCAAAATTTTGCCCATAAAGGCTATGGTAATCAGTCTACTTGCTTGCAGAAATCCTTGCCTCAAGTATGATACCTACCAAGTCAAAAGAGAACAAAACATGTTACGCTGGTGTTGTGTGGCACAGTAAACATAAATGCCTGTGAGAGACAAGGTGTGGTCTCTACATAAAATGTGTGCATTTAAGGGTTAAGTCAGTGTCATTTTCAATTGTAATGTTTAATTTAAGTGTTAAGCTGTTGTCAATTTTATCCATGGCTATTCAATACAAATTATTAAAATTTAGTAGCTTTTTACTTGTTGTTCAATATATTCTAATGGTCTACTAGTATTACATACAGCATATTTTGCCTGTGTAGTTCATTAGCTTATACCTACTTCCTACTAGTTACTCTTTTGTGAATAAAGAATAAAAAATTTAACAATGAAGAATATTATGCAACCTATAACCTGTCTCTAATGGTGGTTTTACTGTACATATGTATATAACAAATTGGATATATAATTATATTAAAATATTTGCATTCTAATTTTAAATTAGCTCTTAAAATCAAAATAGACTACTCCAGCTACTTTTTTTTATCTCATCCGAATTTATTTGCTTGAAGATGAAGGTCTGAATACTACTTGGAATTTTTTCAGGCTTGATGTGGATGGTCTGGAGGTTCTCTTCCCCTATGAATTTATATATCCTGAGCAATACTCCTACATGCTTGATCTCAAAAGGGCTCTAGATGCTAAGGTTGGTGGTCAAATTATACTGTCAATATGGTTTTAATGGCACTGTTGCCATTAAGGTTTTAATGGCACTGTTGCCATTATGGTTTTAACGGCACTGTTGAGAACTACCTTCTGTTCAATATGTTGTTAATTTTACTAGCCTGTTGTGTATTTTGTCTTCAAACTTATACTAAAAGTGATAACAGTAAACTTGTTTTTTTTTTCAAGTTACTCAAGTTATTTCTACAGTATCAGTTTTTAGTGCCAACAGGCCAGTCTTTATAATCTTGTTCAAATATATAATAGATTTGATGACTACCTTGAATTGATTTATACCAAATTTGTTTGAATTTGATTTATAATTTGTTCAATTAATGTTTTCCCAATCAGGGTCACTGTTTGCTTGAGATGCCTTCAGGGACTGGTAAGACCATCACTCTGCTGGCTCTGATTGTGTCATACCTAAGGGGCAATCCACACAATTTATCCAAACTCGTTTACTGTTCCCGGACCATTCCAGAAATTGAAAAGGTAATTAAAATATTTCAATTTGATGGATGATAAGCTTAACAACATTATAAACTGTGAAATAAATGTTATTTGTGTTCTGAGAATTTTTCTAACTTTAAAGTAGGCATAGGAAATTACTTATTTTGCACTCTAAAGTTATCATTACTACTTTTAAAGCTTTTTAAGTGCAAAAATAAAATATAAAATAGCTATTGAACCCAGAAACTTTACTGCTCTGTGATAATCATGCCTCATTCAATTTAATTTTCTATTAGTTCAACTGATTTAATTTTCATTGAACATTCCTATTTTTCTCACAACTTTTGACAACTTTTAATGTAGAAGAAATCAAAATTTATGAGACTTGTTTTATTATGTTTTACTACTCTTATGACTAATATCATTGATGAATTATTCTAGGTAATAGAAGAGTTGAGAAATCTTTTGAAGTATATTGAAGAATCTACTGGGAAGCCTCCAAACATCACGGGTCTGGCCCTAGCATCACGCAGAAATCTTTGTATACATCCTGAAGTAAGTCAGATTCATGTTAAAAGATACTTTACTTTGCATGTTGCTCTGTGTTACCAAATTAAGAAAGACATTTTATAAGCATTTTGTTATAGTATACATTAACCCAACTAATTGTTGGTGCTTGACCTCAACTCATTATTCCCTAAGTTCTGCAAGGCATGAGCTTCTATGCAAGCCTATTAAAAAATCAACATTTTCTCTAACACATTTTTTAGTTTTCTTGGCCATTATTAATATAAATTTTTTAAGAAATAGTTGTGACATGTCTTGAGAAATTAAATTACCTACGTATTTATATATTTGACCATTTCTTATTATGGGTTAATCATTGGCTCCAGCAACATTTTCCTTCCAATGAAAACATTTAGAAAGATATTATTTATAATTTCCTCCAATTATTTTATCCACTGAAAATAATTCTTTGTTGCTTGATGTTCCTTCTCATAATGATATAAAATTTTTGTAAAAGATTGATTTGTTTCCTAACATTCATGCAAGGCTTATAAGTTGGCTTTCAACAACTTCATTACCAATTTAATTCTTATTTCCCTGAATTTCTTCTTGTTGGTTTAGGTGAGCAAAGCTCGAGACGGCAAGGTAGTGGACAGTGGATGTTATGCCCTCACTGCTTCATACGTGCGCACCAGAGCTCAGCGTGATGAGAGCATTGGGCGGTGTGATTTTTTTGAGGAGTTTGATCTTCATGGACGGGAGTTTCCCATACCTTCTGGCTGCTATAACCTTGATGATCTCAAAGACTTTGGCAGAAAAAAGAACTGGTGTCCTTATTTTCTTGCCAGACATGTTGTGAGTATATATACAGGCCTATTAATTTGTTTATACTAATGTAAAATATTCTTCAGATTTTATTTTGGAATGCCTCCACTTGTCTTCCATGAACTTGCTTTAAACTTTTAAAAATTGTGTGATGAAGATGAAGAAATATTTTTAGTAAACCAAGAAAACTTCTAACTTTGATGTGCAGGTGAACAGTGCACAGATTGTTGTCTACAGCTACCACTATTTACTGGACCCTAAAATTGCAGAAATTGTCTCTAAGGAAATGAAGAAAGAAACTTGTGTAATTTTTGATGAAGCCCACAACATTGGTATGAAGTACTAATACATAAAAATACCTATTGTAGAGTTAGTCGGGTATTTATTCCTAAAGGGTTGACTGACTTCAATTTGCTTGAACCCTATGTGTCTTTGCATTGAATTTTATCATTGCCTTGCTTCTTATTATAATTTTTTCATGTCATAGAAATAATTAATTTTATAATTTAAAGATTATTTTTTTGATTCCACACAATTGAAATGCTTTAATTTTTAGTTTTGCACAATAGTTTCTTTAGTTTTTATTAATTTTCTAGCAATGGCTAAAAAATTTGGAACTTCTTCATGTTCATATTGTTTAGTGTCACAAGTATTTTAGGAACTTTCTAGCATTTTACTGCTGTTCTAAATCTCTTAGAAATTTTGATAAGGGAAATTCCTAGGAAATTAAAACCACATCAATTTATCAAATTGGTGCAAAGTCTACCCTTTCAAAATGTCGAATTTATAAGCTATGTAGTATTATGTGCACCATATTTGTATGTCTTTTTACATATTGAATTTGACAAATTTAATTGATGGCTTACAGACAACATCTGCGTGGACAGCATGAGCATCAACCTTAACAAGCGCGTGCTGGATAAAGCCAAAACCTGCATCAATAGCCTCAGTGAACATGTCTCAAGGTGTTGTAAACAAGCTGTGGTATTTGTACTTTATTTTTCTCTTAGTAAGTATGTAAGTATGAATATACAAGTACTACCTAAGTGACTACATTTCATTTACAAATGGCAAAGCAATTGTAAATGTTGTGTGAATTTGAAACGGGCACAACTATTTTAATGGAAGTGAATTGACAAGGAAATTTGTTTGTAGTGTTGAATTCAATTATAGAATAACGCCAAGCTTGTAAGAAAGTTGGGCCTCATTTGCATTCCTTAGTTTAGTAATGGTATTCCTATCTTTTATTTTCTATTTTTGTTCGGTTAAACTTAAGACTTGCATCCAAGTACATTTATATTGTAGCATTTAATTGAAAATTTTTTGTTGTTGTACAATTATCTAACGCACAAAGCACTATTTTATTTGAACTAATATCTTAGCAGATTGTACAATATTTTCTCTTCAAACTTCATGCTCATTAATCTAGTACTAAGACCATGTTAAATATTTCTCAGCGGGTGATCATTCATTAATTACCCACTATTTGCTTCAGAATAAAAGACTCGGACCAGTCACGGCTGCAGGACGAGTATCAGAAGCTGGTGGCTGGTCTGCGTATGTGTGAATGTATGAAATTAATGGCAGATAATTTCTATTTATTGTCTGTTTTCTCCAGATCAAAATTCTACAAAAAAGTTTTTTTTAAATAGTAAAATTGTCCTCATCACTAATGTTCAAATTTATAAGCTTGTTTCCACATTTCAAAGTTACAGCTTCTTAAGTTAGAATTCATTAAAGTGCTAAACTATTGAATTTTCCATTTGACAAATTCTACTGCCTATGCAGTGTTATGTTCCTCAATCTCGTCTAGAAGATATTAAATGACATTTTATTTTGAAAATATTTCACGCTAGTTTTCAATGTCACTGTGTTGGTTAGCACATGAGCGTGCGTTGATAGTTTATTTTTCCACACCTAAAAATGGCAACTTACGTCTTATTGATGCTTGTGCTTTGTTAAGGAACTTTAGTGGCACCGTCTGCAAGAAGCAATACCTTTGAACTCTTTCAAGTCATGTGGCACGTTCGGAGGCTTTACTGTCTCATGTCAAAATATCATTTCAAACCTTGAAACCTTGATTAACTTGCCGTCTCGTGCACTTGCTTTAATGTAGGATTATCCTATTAGAAATTGTCTTATTCAGAAAAATGGCGCTTCTTATAAGTCTTGACTAGTATACTTACATCAATCATTATTAAATCTTTCATTAAAACTTAACATTAACTTGCCACGGTCGGTTGAAACAAACCTGGTGTCCAGTTTTGTTAAATTTGTGTTAGTCTTTTCGGCAATCTCTTCTGTTGGCTCATCCGTAGACGAATGTTAAAACGTATTAAATATTACGATTTAATGTGAGACAACATTCACATTAATGTGAGACAACATTTAATGTGATGAGAAGCTTCATTAAGATATTGCTTTAATTACAGACAACATTCCCGGGACGATCAGAACGGCAGACCACTTCATCCAGTTCCTACGGCGCCTGGTGGACTACGTGAAGATGCGGCTGAGCGTGAGCCACGTCGTGCACGAGAGTCCTGCCTCCTTGCTCAGGGACATCAAGACGCGTGCCTTCATTGACAGGAAGCCGCTCAGGTCAGAGTTGCATCGCTGCATTATTAATATCTAATCAAAATTATACATATTGATTGTTCAAATGTAAGAATCGCTAGGTATTTAATTTGTTATGCTTCGTTCCTGGGTTGAAAAAAATTAGCGTGTCATAGTCAAGTCCAGTATTTGCCAGAGTGACGTATTTTTACAGAATAAATTTCATTTTGGTTCGTGCCCTGAGTTTTGCTCTTTACTTTACAAATGGCTTGACATGAATCGTTACATACATACCGTACTGTGGCTTGAGTGTCACCTGTGAGTCATTGAGCACCACCATTTTTTTTCAAGATATTTTGTGCGGAGTTTTTTCTCGTACATTTAGCTTTCACTGTTCATTGTACGTTCTGCTTTTCCGTACATGATACCGTGCAAGGTTTTGTTTATGAATCTCAATTCATTTATTCATGAATACGTAGTTCTTAAATCCCAAGATTTTGTGCAGGATTTTGCTTATGAATAGCAATTGATGTCTTCACCAGTAGTTTCTGAAACCCAATGAATGTCGTTCAGGATTCTGCATACGAATTTCAATTTATTCATTCATGAGTGAATGAGCCTCACATGAGTGAGGCTGAGTGATGAGCCTCACATGAGTGAGGCTGAGTGATGAGCCTCACATGAGTGAGCCTGAAGCCTCATGTTGCACGCAGGTTTTGCTCAGAGAGGCTGTCATCAATGGTGCGTACGCTGGAGCTGACAGACCTCGGCGACATCAGCCCGCTGGTGAGCGTGGCGCATTTCGCTACACTCCTCGCCACTTACCTTCACGGCTTCACGATCATCATCGAGCCCTACGAGGACAAGGCGCCTAATGTACCCAACCCCACGCTCTTCTTCAGGTATATAATTCGTGTGTCTGTGTCTATATATTCCCTGTTTTTTATGTCTGTAATCTGTGTGTTTAGGTCTATTATCCTTGTGTTTAGTTCTCTAATCCGTATGTTCATGTATCTAATCCATGTGTTTAAGTCTCTAATCGGTGTTTTTAGGTCGCTAATCCCTGTGTTTAGGTCCATAATCCGTGTGTTTAGGTATCTCAAATTACACAAATATATCGGCCAAAATATGTTGAGAGAAACGCTCTTAGATGTGTAGCCTTCAACTAAGTTCTTTGTTAGTCCTAAAAAATTTCCATGCTCTTCCTATTTCGCAGTCAGATTTTCCAGCAATGGCTGTGGTTACTTGCTTTTCCAGCAATGGCTGTGGTTACTTGCTTTTCCAGCAATGGCTGTGATTATTACTTATAATATATACCTACCGTGAGTAATATATCATGTGTCATGATGTATCACAGATGCCTGGACTCGAGCATCGCCATCAAGCCGGTGTTCAGCAAGTTCCAGACCGTGGTGATCACATCAGGCACGCTGTCTCCTCTCGACATGTACCCTAAAATCCTGGACTTCAACCCTGTCGTGCAGAACTCGTTCACGATGACCCTAGCCCGGCCCTGTATTTTGCCCATGATCGTCACTAAAGGCAACGATCAGGTCCGTTGTGATGCTAAAGCACTAATATCCTCTTTCGTTTTGAACTGCTATTTTGTCCCTGGACTACCGTCGTATTATCCACTCTATCTTTACCAAAGTTGTTACTCTAGGTATTAGTCAAATTAGTTATTTTTAGTCCCACATACCTACTTTTAGTTTGAAGGATATTGTGTTATACATCATGAATCTTGGAATTTGTCTACTTATCATGCCTAATTTGGAATAACTCAATTGTTTGTTTACTTTTTAATCATGAGCTTTGCAATTGTTACTCAGAATTATCTACAGCCACAATGTACATACCTATTGTTGATATTGCATGCCTAGTTTTTATATTCTCAAAAATATTCTCCTAATTCATATTAAAATAGATTAATACAAATAATATGTTTAAACTTTGTGCAATAGACAATATCTAGCTATGGAATTTCAACAATTATTTTTCAGGTGGCCATGTCATCAAAGTTCGAGAGCCGAGAAGACCCAGCAGTGGTACGCAACTACGGCAAGCTTCTCGTCGAGATGGCCACTACTGTGCCTGATGGTCAGTTGTTCATATCATGAAAAACATTCTGGTCCTTTGAAGAACTTCCTTATTCTTTAATTGCTTTAAGTTGACTTAGTAATTGTTTATTAGGCGTGTTCATCTGCCCTGGGCGTCTGCGATAGTTGAATGAATGACGTCCTGAACTTGGGGTGGAAAATTTCCAGAAAACGTTATTTTAGTATTAGATACTATACTCAAATGAATATAATAAATTCAAATGGAATTTCTTTATAGAGATAGGCTAGATTATACTTCTGTTTATCTAAATTGCTTAGGTATAAAATATCATGCATGTATTTAATGTGAGTACTGAATACCTGAATTTTCCATTTTTTTCAAGTACACGAGAGTGCAGCAGTGCACAGCTTAAATTTGAAATATGCCCGTAATAAAACAAATTCTGACTCGAGCTGAAATTTGAAATTGGCATGTGAACTTTTTCATTCTCTTTATTTCAAGAACACTATCTTAGTAGACTATGTACAGGCTCTGTTTTTCTTGTCAAATTTCTTCATACCCTGTAATGTCCTGAGCTTAATTGCATAGATCATAGTTACGTTTTGTCACAACATAGAGACTAATGTGTTCATCATCTACTATTAAGATGTTGTATTTTATGGGTTTGAATTTGATAGTTTCACTACCGATGATTTAGGGAAGAGAACTCCCTTGTTATTATACCTCATTTAGTGGCACTTTATCTCTCTTCTTTTCGGGAAACATGTGCGGCTAGAAATCATATTCGAATATCATCAAGCACGTGATGCCCGTCTATTCAGAATATTGTGTTTCCATTTGGTGTGTATGGTGATTAGCTCTGGGTGGCAGCGAGTTCAGGATTACAAGATTGGAGCAACGAGTTGGGGATTCGAAACTCTCAACAAATTGAGAACATTCTAGTCAGAATCGGTAATGTGGCTGGGTGTTAAAGAAAGAATCGGCTACAAACGAACATGGTACATCAAAGCTGACAACAATATGCAGTATTATTTTATTTAATTATTAAGCGGTTTTGTGCTTCAGGCATGGTGTGCTTCTTCACGTCGTACCTGTACCTGGAGAGCGTGGTGGCCACGTGGTACGACCACGGCATCATCAACGACCTGCAGCGCCACAAACTTGTCTTCATAGAGACGCAGGACGACGCCGAGACGTCGCTTGCTCTTCTCAACTACACCAAGGTGACGTAGCGAGGTAGCTACATCAAGGTGACGTAGCGAGGTAGCTACATCAAGGTGACGTGGCGAGGTAGCTACGCCAAGGTGACGTGACGAGGTAGCTACACCAAGGTGACGTGGCGAGGTAGCTACACCAAGGTGACGTGGCGAGGTAGCTACACCAAGGTGACGTGGCGAGGTAGCTACATCAAGGTGACGTTTTTCAATTGCAGTATCCGTCAGTAATTTTTTGACATTTCTAATTACGCTACGGGCTGGTCAATAGATGCAGTAACTTTAACATTGCTTTACAATTTGTTAATACACAACCTTAATTAAGTAGAAGAGTTATGGCCGGGACACAAAGGCTTAACTGTAAATGCCTCTTGCAGGCATGCGAACGCGGCCGCGGTGCAATCCTGCTGGCGGTCGCTCGAGGCAAAGTGTCAGAAGGCGTTGACTTTGATCACCACTTCGGGCGGTGCGTGGTCATGATGGGCATCCCTTTCATGTACACACAGAGCCGCATTCTTAAAGCCAGGCTCGAGTATCTCAGAGATCAATTCAACGTAAGTATATGCTTTTGTTTTCAAATGAAATTGTTCCGCATCGAGCGCAACGTTTGTTCTATTTGGGCCTGGGTACCTTTTCTTTGTTTCATTTACAACTCATCTTGGAGATGGGTTGAGAGAGTTTTATTTATTAAACTATTATTGATCATTTGTTCGTTTACGTCACTGCATCTTAACTTGGCGAGCTTCAGTCCCGTCAATCAAATGAAACTTGGCTAAATGGGCATGAGCAAGGACTTCCAGTATGTGTCGAATAATACAATTTAAAATCGCTTTGTACAATTGCCGTACCAATGTACTGTCTAACCTACGGCAGCGAGCACGTCCGCTGAGGCCAACTATCTGCTGAAGAGATATGCTGTAGTAGTCAGGGTGCTAGAATGAACGCAAATTCATGTTAAACACTCGTCAGTCAGTCTTTCTACAAATACACACTCGTGTTCTGAGTAACAGCGAATAGCAAAAAAAACTATCAGAAAACTAGCTGCTATCTCCAACGTGCTACTTAACCACCGCTTATGAACTCGTACTCTACCTAACGAAAAAGAAATAAATTGCAACCCAATTACAAACTTCAGGAAACTCGCTTCATTCCAGAAAATGAATTGAGCACTGACATGCTAAAAATTCTTGATAACGTACTTCCAGATCCGCGAGAACGACTTCTTGACGTTCGACGCGATGCGTCACGCGGCGCAGTGCGTGGGCCGCGCCATGAGAGGCAAGACTGACTACGGTATTTTGCTCTTTGCCGACAAGAGATTCGCTCGAGCGGACAAGCGCAGCAAATTGCCCAAGTGGATACAGGAGCACCTCGCAGACAACAAGTGCAACCTCTCCACTGAGGAAGCTGTACAGGTGGGCGCTACAAACGCACGAATGCTTTCATAAGGATCTGAAGCACAATACGTTGCTCTTGAAGGATGGCTAATTTCAGTTGGTGGTAATATCAATTGTGACGTGTTAGTTTTCATCAACATTACCAACGTGTCTGTAACCGATAGCGGACACTGGTTCACCAATATAGATTACATGCTGCAAGGTGCTGGCTTGCTGTTTGACGGACGCTGCAAGCGAGTAACATAGCTGGAAGACTAGAAAAATTCAGCCTAGTCTCTAAATTTGCATATCAAACGGGTGTAGCCAAAGGAGACCAGAAAGCGATTTGATGATTGCTCACGAGGAATAATATTTAAAGCAATTGGGCCTTCAGTCAATAGAAAAAAGAATGGGTACTAAATGGTGAGATTCGTTTCTATTGATACAGGTTGTCTGTAACAAATGACATGAACTAAACACTGAGTGTTGCAGCAACTGATCGTTGACCGAGTTGCTTTATTTTTCCAGCTGTGCCGGCCTTGGTTGCGGCAGATGGCGCAGCCGTTCACCAGAGAGGACCAGCTCGGGATCTCGCTGCTTACCAAAGAACAAATTTCGTCCCCCGAATGTATAGAAAGAATACAGAAGCATGCTCATCAAGCCCATTAAATAGGACGGAACATATTAGATACTATTTGGAACAGTCCGCCTAAACTTCATATCACACTCCAGTCAAAGAAAATTTAGACGAGTGCAGCGGAGATTAACATAGTATAACTATTGCGAGGATATTTCAAATGTAAACACTATCATCAAACATTCAAATGTATTCTATTTGTATACATGGTCAAGATACTATGACAAACATGATATACACTCTGAAATAAACAAAATGTTGCTGCAAACGTGTGCTCTAATGTCCTGGTAATTAGGTGTTAACACGCAGAAAAACTCAAAATATTGGAATAAACGCACATTGAAGTTCTCCGAACGTCAAGACTATTTTCAACTAACATTGCCTTCGGTACAAAATATGTGCACATTTTCGAATTGGACATCTGAATATTTCAAACTCTATCCTCACCAATGAGAAAGCTGTAATTAAGAAGTTAGGTCCTAGTTTCCTCATGGACCATTACAATATCGAACAAAGCGGGTCCCTGTTCTGTCATCAGACAAAATTACTTGCTGGAGGATCTGACTTGCTCCCAAACATTTTTAATGCCCATCTTTGTCCTGTACTTAAAATGGAACGATAATTCACAGAATGTGAAGCTTCAAGTTAACTTCCCGCGTGGTGTTAGCATGCGAGTGGTTTACAAAAGAGCAGCCACGTTGCGCAGTTTGTCCATGGCTTCTTCCCTGCGTTTGGAGAGCTCCTGTTCCTGATCAGCGTAGGCTTGCTTCGCCATTTTCTTACCGAGCAACTTCTCCATGTTGCTGCACTGCTGGACGACGGCTTCGCGCACCTCCCTGGCAGCAACAAGTGCACAAGAATAATAAGTGATTGAGCAATGTGGACCATGCTTAAAATTTTTTTGTAGATACCCGGCCCAAGAACGCCCCAACTGAACCATGTTATATTTTTTGGAAAAATCAACTTAACGTCTATTTTCAGACAACAGGCTTAGCTACTGTTAGCCCATTATAAGTTGCCAACGATTAAAACCCTTGGCCTCGAATGTCATTGAAAACATTGCTCTGTTAAGACTACAACATAAATCTTGTTATTTCTATTATCATCATTAAATCCAACATTCACAAGATATTCCTCTATTTTACTAGTCGTACACTCGAATAATCTTCAAACAATGATTCTTCGTCAAGGTATTAGTTTAGCAGGTGAACTATGAACAAAATAGGCATGCTGGTCCCAGTGCTACTATCAGAGTTCAGTTCATATAATATAAAATTGAAGATAATCACAAAACTGCTAGATGTTGGAAAATACAAATACATATTCACAATGGATATTCAATATCATTGGCCAGGATAATTTCACTCACCTGTCGTACTTCTGAAGCTCGTTTACTTTCTCAGCGACCTCAGAGTTGTCGGAGCGAATTTTGGCCAGCAGTTCGGCAATGGCCTGGGACTCGTCTTTGAGGTTTGCTTGCAGCTTCTTGATGTTGGCTTGGAACTGGCTCTGTAACGCAACACACATATGAGCATGTAAAAATTTTATCCGCAATAAATTACTCAGTAAGTGATTACAAGCAATGAGCAACGTGTATAGTCTTGTTATGAATGTCTCTATCTACAAATCTGGTCCTAATACATGAGATGCGAGAACCACTCTTATAACAATTAGGAGTGGAATTATTAATTTTAAGAAAATTCCACCCATTACGATTTGAACACGATTCGCTATAGCATACACAGAGGAATCAGATTTTAAATGACGTCTAGTCCCTATGACGACGCCAGTATCTAGGACAGTTCACAGTAACAGAAACTAGATGTCATACTGTTGATACTTCAACGGAGTAATAATTGTCCCGTTAGTACTTCTTTTCCACAAAATACTTCATACGTCTCAATAAATACCAAACTGGAATAGTTCGACTATTTAATACTGTCTAAACTTGGTTTAAACGTCACTTAAGAAATCATAATTGCTGGTCCGAACATCACTTAAAAATCGCAATTGCTTCAGCTACCAGAGGTGTGGCATTGGTTTTTGCACCTGCTCTGGATGCTATTGCATGAAACGCCAACTAATCGAATTTTAAAGCAGCAAGTTTCAGCTGGCCCCATTACTCACAAGTGCATTGGGCGGGTTGCCGAGCCCCTGCTGCTTGGTGATCTCGTCCAGCATGGCGTGATAGATGGCGACGCGCTTGTAGTGCCGCGAGGCCACGAGGCTGCAGTGCGACGACACGCGCATCTTCGCCTCAGCATCTCGGTCGGGGCTGAGTGTCAGGTCAAGCCGCACCCAGATCATCACCTGTAAAAATTATTTCAAGTATAACTATTACAAGATCAAATGAGAAAGAAGCGTTTGCCTCTCTATACACTACAAGCCTAGTTATTGTAACCTTGTTTCAAGTAAATCGAGCACGACCTCTACATACAGCAACTTTTTTTTAAAATGGTTACAGTACGAATTTTTTTGCAATACCTAATGCGAATGATATAATAATCACTATTCTTAGTCACATTTTATAAATAAAAACATCAAACTTAAATTTCACCACTTTCCATGTAGAACTTTGAATTACGTTCATTAACCGGCATCTGACAGTAGGAAATATGTACACAAGTTTAGTACATGTCCACTAAGAGGAAAAATTCACTGACAGCAATGAAGAGAGCCAGGAAGGCAGCGACAACAAGAAGCGGTTCCTGCAGCATGAGGAGGCCAGGGAACTTGTAGTAGAGCGTGAAGTCTTGAATGTGCAACGCATTGAGCTTGGCAGCTCTCAGGGATACCACCACGCGGCCAACTGTGTCCAGGTACGTGGCAAACAAGCCGTCGTCTTCACGGGTCACAGGGAAGGGTGTGCTGCAAAGCTCAAACTTCGTTACTATTCTTTTTTAGACAAAATGTTTTACCTAACGATCAACGACAGTAGGCAATATCTCAGAACATGAGTGACATAGAATCTTTACTTTTCGATAATAGCAAATAAAATTTTTAATTCCACAGGTATAGAATGCTGTGGAACATGGAAATGCTATTCATTGTTCCATAAATCAGCAGGCTACGCAATTATACAATAGGCATTGTAAGAACTTCACTAAGCTAAAGTACAAGGTAGAGCCCAGTACCTAATGAGGATGTCCTTCACACCCTCAGGCAGGATGATCTTGAGGAGCAGCTGCTCCACTACCATGTCGTCGTACACGTGGTCCAATATGCGCATTTTCAGAGCATACTGTTCGCCTACAAAGAGAAAATATTCAATTCATTTTTACCAATATTTCATAGCCTGAATACTTGAAAAACAGTACCGTAAACTGGGGTAACTTAGACTCCCGGGGTAACTTAGACCGCTTTTGGTTTTTTTAACAAAAACCCCCAAAACTCAAAAACTATTTGACATAGAAAAATTCTGTCAATGGGCATTAAAGGCCTAATACTGAGGCTACGTAACACAATAGAAAGATTTAAAAAGTTTGCATATCTAATAGGTTAAAAAATTAAAAATGTGACCCACGAAAAAAAGCTATTTTTTAAAGCCTCTCAGAGTACTTATTAAGATAGCAACAATCGAATTTGCAGTTATATGCATGTGACATTGGAGCGAAAAACATGCAAGTTACATTAGGTTTATTTTAAGCTACGCATTTGAACGTGTAACAATCAGTATATTAAGCCACCTGAGTTGTAGAGATACTCATAGCTGGGAACATTGTAGCCCAGTTTATAGTGGGTCTTCCATCCTCCAAAGAGTGGGAACCGCGGCCGGAGATCAACTTCTACAGAGTCGTCTCTGACACGGAGGTTTGATGTTGATATGTTGCCGATCTCGTCCCTGTAGTAGACGTCTCGCGCAGAGGCGGGCAGTATTGTGCGGAATGACCTGAGGTAACAGCCAAGTAAATTTTTAGTCTAAGTCACTATGATGAAAAAGATTCTAATTTGGCATCAATTGAAGCATGCGCTGAGATTTGTACAGCATCAATTTAAATTTTAGATTGCTGCTAACATAAGAAATGTCATTAAGAGAAACTAGCTTAGATCGATACCACAACATATATGAAGTATCTAAATGAGTAGATTGAGATGATATAGATACCAACAAGCTTTTTTTATTTAAACAAACTGTAATGTTTGTTTCCATTAGAATCTCAAACCAATTCATGAGAAGTACTTGTCTGGACTCACTTGACGTTGGTGTGGGCGTTGTGGTCTCTCTGGTAGTCATAGCGTGAGAAGGGCCCCTTAAGCTTGGCTCCAGTGTGTAGCAGATCAATGGTTTCTTCTACAGCAATGTTGCCCCAATGGCTGACCTCCAGCACGCGCTCCAGGTTTGTGATGGTCAGGAAAGAGCTGCTGGTCTCGTAGTGAACTCTCATGGGGTCCTGCAAAGTATGTACAACAGTTGATGAGCAAGCTAATAACAATTGACTAGAGGCATACTCCTCTCTCAATAAAAATGATTACGGTATACAGGATTATACAGGTCAGGTCACTTAACCTTGTCATTGATGATAGATGGACTTACACAACTTCCATACGGCTGGTACAGTTTACATACAAAGTAGAACATTTTAGCAAAGTATATATTTAGCAAACATTCAAATTCACACAGGTCAGTAAAAATTTATTAGTTAATAAAAAATTGCAATCAGATCCTAATTAAATGCAATGTGATGAAAAACTTTTGAAGAATTCACTTAAAATGATTGCACTACAACATGATGGTGGAATAATAATAAAATTCCAGCAGTAACATTCAATTACAACTTGTGACTAGAAACTTAAAATCATTTGATGCATTATAGAAAGAAATAAAACCTAAATTGCCCAGTAATATAGGAAAAGATTTTGTGAAGTAAAAGGTGTCACTATTGTCACACACATCAACAACTCACAGCTGATAGCACACATCAACAACTCACAGCTGAGAAAGCAGGAATACTCTCGTAGGGTCCATAGACAATGTTGGTGTCAGAGTGTGAGGTGGGTTTGAGTTTAGTGAAGCTTTCAGCGTTGGGGGACGGTAGCATCACAGTTGTGGTCTGGGATGTGACTCTGTAAGCAGCAGGCGTCCAGTGGCTGCCTTCATAGACCACGAGCTGCTTCTCTCCTTGCTGGATGCTGGCAGGGTAGGGTTGCAGGGCACCAGCCAACACAACTTCAACCTCAACCTGCAAATTAGTTTCCATGTGAAAATTTCCTGGATTTTTAATCCATTTTTCTTAAATTATTTATTGCTTAGGAGAAAAAATGTATAGTACAACAATTAAAGCCAAATCTTGACAGAAATTATAAAAAAAAATTATTTTTCATGTCAACAGAAGTTTCCTGCTTTAGGTCTTGCCAATAGATATGGAACAAGATATTTGGTTAATATGCCCTTCAAACAAATAGAAAATCATTTTAGGTCATATGCATATTGAAGAAGAGATAGGTAAACCAAGTTAATCATCTAGAACTATGCATGGAGTGGAATTGTTGCTAAATTGAATCAGTTCCTTGCATCTTTGATTTTTCTTTAGCATTGAAAACACAAAACTGCTGGTACAATCAAATTATCACAATTATCACTTTATGTTAGAATTAAAAATTTGTAAAGAATAGCTCTGCACCTATTGAGGAATGATTAATAAAGACTAGCTCTAGTTCATTAGTTTGAGCTTTAAAATATTGCATGTAAGAGAAGCCTGAAGTATTCACAACTAATGTTATCCTTAATGAATATCATTTAAGAATAACTGCAAGTGAGCAACTTACTGTAGATACTTACAGGACTGGAAATTTTGCCACCTTGCAGTACATCTCGTAGGTCCACCCGGTAGAAATGATAGCCAGGATGATTCGGAATCAAAGTTTCAGCTGTAGTCAGTTGGTAGCTGCCAACCTATATGCAATTTGTAATCAATAAAAGTGAAGAAAGCAGGTATATATTCATGCATACAGTAGACAAATGAATGCAGATTAGCTTATATTGGGTGGACATTTGATATACCTACATGTTTAAAAGTAAAAATATATATATTTACATCAAATTACATGTATATGTTTAATAGGTTAACAAAATGCAAGCCATCAGATAAATAAGTCAGTTGCACATTTAAATACACACTTAACTGTGAGCATACCCATCTTATAAATGAACAACTAATATTTTCTAACCATTGACAGAGACAAAAAGCATCACTAGAATCTTGCAATAACATTTAACATCTTGAGTGATTAGCATAGGTATTTAAATGAATAAATGAAATTTGAAATTTACCTAGCTATAAATTTCAAGGCCTATTTGATGCAAATGCAAAGCCTATTTGAGGATTTAAAACAGGTAAAAAATAATAATGACTTCAACTCTTTAACAACAGTAAGAGTTTTGTGGCCAAAATTTGCTTTGAACTTTTGTAGAAAAATTATATTGAACGCCTAAATATATTATGAATAGTGTATAATAATGGAGATTTCATAACAAATATTTCTAGAGCCTAGAGTTACAATGCCATCTTAGGCAAGATGTTTGAAGTAGAAGTAAATCATTAAATGTTTGAAGAATACTTCAGCAGATAGAACACTATTGAATATTGGACACTACTTATTTAGGCTTTTAATTAAGAGCTATTAAGCTTTTAATTAAGAAAATTTTAATTTTTGCACACAGTTTGGAACGAGCTGTGTGTGTCTAATTCCAAGCTGTGTCGGAATTAGTTTTTATGTGTCTATAACCATCTCTTAACTTAATCATCTATTAATTTATTTACAACTTGAAATCAGCATACAAGTTTACCCAAAGGAGGTAATACTTTAGATCAAGTGCATGCAAAAAAAAGGTGTTTTTTTCTCTCTAATTATATGTTTTTTGGGGTGTAGATTAAGAATCTGAAATCTGTTTTTTGGCAGTCGGCATCGGAAAGATGATTTTTTCAAATTTTTTTATATTTTTTCTATAAAAAATTTACCTAACCTAACCTAGCGCAATTTTTGGGTTTTACATAGGTTTACAGTCATTCCTAGATTGATATAGATCATTTTCAGTCAAAAAAAATTTTCTGATTTTTGATAGAGATAAAATGCAAGTTAAATCATGGACGCAAATCCCTTGGAGTTATAGCATTTTTAATTTAGCCTGGGTGACCCATATACTATTGTGGTCGTTTCTTAAATATCTATAAAATCGATTTTCCGATGCCAACCGCCAAAAACGGATTTCAGATTCTTAATCTACACCCAAAAACATATAATTAAAAAAATAACACCCTTCTTTTTGAATGCACTTAATCTAAAGTAATACCCCAAAGGATTCCTAATATATTCCCAGACTTATTTAAAAGTCTCAAACCATAATATTCTTTCTACATAAAACAGTTTATCACTATTTGGTAGAGCAAGGTCAACTATCAACTTTGACACATTTTTCGATGTTCTCGCTGGGTGACGCGCACTGTCTCTCTTTAGATCTCAATATTTTCCCACCAGACAGCCCAGACCTACTGTTTTGGCAATAGTATGGCGCGCAAGAGTATGACGTCACTATCTCAACCAACAATGAATGCGTGGAACTAAGAAAAAGCTTAATATAAAGGATAAAAGTTGAGAAGTGTCGGAATTACCCACGATGTCGGAATATAGGTACCGTGTTTGCCCTATTTATATTGGCAACAAAGCCAAATAAGAATAAAATACTTTAAAAAACTTTTTAAAAAAACACGTTTTTCTTGAGGACTAAAATGTAGAAAATAAATTGTGGCTCGCCCCAAAAACGTGTGTTGGGCAGATTTATGATTAAAGTGAAAATCTGATCATGCAATCTATAGTTTATGGTCGGTCATGGCTGCCTGAGCCATAGTTTATGATCGGCCATGGACGCCAATTTAAGGTCGATGTGGCTGATGGAGAGCTTGAAAAGACGCCGATATCTCGAGCTAAAAGGCCCTACTCTACAGCCTGGGTTAGCCTAAATAGCTACCTAATGTTCATTGCACAAAAGGCAAAGGGAGACTTGTAAAAACATCATACCTGGGCTCCAAGATAGGAAAGTTTTTCAAACTCTTCACTAGTTAGCGTAACCAAAAAATATTTCACAGGGCTTGATCCGGTATTTTCAATGGTTATTTTAGAGCTGATTTTGACGAGTTGCGTTGTCAAGTCGATCTTGCGTTCCAGATTTTTGAAGACAATATCTTTATTAATGACGTCAGTTGCACTCAGTCCTAAAGATAATAAACAAAGAAAGGAAATGAGCCTTACTAGAAATGACATCTTAGGAAATTAAGGCCAGCAATTACTCCAAAATTCTTCAGACCAGCTGACAGATAGTCCGATGCCGGCACCACCGCTTCGCTGACCAACCAAAAGTTGACAACGAAGGCTGGAATGTGATTGGAATTTTACCCTAAAAATGTTAAGACTTACTTAAAAATTTGTTCGTTAAATAATTGATTTATGCTGGGTAGGTGGGTATACATGAAACATCAAAATAGCCTCGTTATTGGGAAAAAGCATCTCAAAAATTTCAAAGGAGATATGTTCCTGTTGAATAAATTATAATATAGCATATGATATATAATTATGAAGAAGTAATATTATTATAAAGAGTTTTTTTCAACAAATCTAACTGCATTATACTCTCGCGACGATGGTCATCCAGATTTCACAAGGACGTAAATTGTATTTGCTCATGTTGGCCGTGGTTAGGTTGCTATATCTTAAAATGCCCATCGTGACGATCGCAGCCCCAAACCCTATCGATTGCGGTTTGGTTGAACGGGAGTAAGAAGGAAATTGAAACAACCCAAACTTCTAACCAAAAAAGTACAACTGTGTGAACTTCTGATGTCTCAACTTGTAAAACCCACACTTTACTTTCAGAATTCAACATCCCACCCATTTACAATTACTTTATATTCTCAGTTCCACTCAAGCGGTCACATTAAAAGATCTTTTCACACACTATTGACAAGAGAAGAATAATGAAAGCATATGCCCATTCCGACAATGTATTTTCAAGCTGATCCTAACAAACAAATCAAAATTACTGATGCACGTGTGAAGTTTTATATATTATTACTCTCGTTCACAATTTTCGCTACTAAAAATAAATCACCTTCACATTACCTGTTTCATTGTCCTTCAAATAATGCAGTTCGTGCAAACAATGCAAATTTTTTAGCTTCTCGCTAGATGATCTGCGACAGGCCGAACTTGGCCAGTTCTTCAACCCTTAAACTACCGAACTACCGGAAAATATCGCCCAAAATAAGAAAAATTAGTTCCACTTCGTCTTGTTTCCTGATTGATTATTGAAATACTGTAAAATCATTCATGCATTAAAGCTTGCGCAAAAATCCCGACGAAAATTTTACATTCCCTTCATTTTCAAACCGACTTCAGTCCTGTCCGGATAAATATCTGCTTCATGGTAAGTGGAGCAAATTTACGTAATCCGGAGATAGGACGATCGAGCTCGTCAGTCTGCCACTGAAAGGCACTGCTGGCGACCAGCAAGAGGGACGGGCCCTGTTAGGACAGGCCTCCTTAACTCGACCACCTCTCACCCGAATGGTTGCACAGATACCCTACACACAACGCGTCACCAACGCACACTACATCCTTCTCTCATCAAACTCACTCCCCCGCATCTTTCTTCTCAGAACCAAATTACCCCGTTCTGCCATGACGCAATATTTAGCAATTTACTAGCACATTATCCTTGATGCTCATCCCAGTATCTGAGTGCTATTGAATCGTATGGACCAACGGCCCGCACTCAGTGACATGAACCTTGCCTTGGCACACGGACAATCCGACAAGAGCTGCTTAAGAATTTCCAAATGCATTGAAGTCTTTTCAGCTAAAATCAGAGAACAACGCACTGCGTAGAGCATAATAATTTTTCAGGGTCCTACAGAATACCGTAGATATTCAGAAGTAGAAAAACGATTACCGCGCCATTGAATTGAAGGGTTCCGAAAGTGAAGCTGTTAATTAAGGATGTTGGATCATACCACGAAGTCTATTAGATTTCCGAATCCTCGAGCCGAAAGAACGCAGAATAGCGATTTGAGGAAAAAACACTATTTAACATTTCACCTGTAATTAGCAATCAATAATGGACTAGTTAACCGTTTAATAGTCAGGACACTTACAACCACAACAATAAAAATTTCTATAGAAATAACAAGATTTCACTTCATTGAAATATAGTACATCAAGTTATACCGAGCAACATCTTATGCACAAACTCATAAATTAAAAAAAATTGTTTTTGAAAGGATAGTCTCACGTTGTGAAACGAAAAGAGTTAATTTCACACAATAATTTTTTAATTGAATTAAATTAAAGGCTGAGGAAATGAGACATATGACCTTCGTAATAAATTTTACAGATATTTTCAAATTTATGACGCCCCGGCACACGAAATTTTCACGTATCAAATCTAATTCAACCTAATGTGATCTATTGACAAAAAATAAGTCCATTTAGGCAACTTTCCGAGAATCCTGTCGTCAAATGTTTCAATCCTGAAAAGTTCTAAATGTTGCAGAGGAACGAAGTTAAGCAGGCGCTGATCAATTCAGATCACCTTCCTAAAGTTGAGACCAATTTAAATATGTTCCGAATTTAATCAAACCAATTAGGTTTTGCTATTAGGGGACAAACGAAGGTAACTGACACTCATAAAAATGTCCCGTGGCAGTGCGTGCAAAGGGATAGTAAATGCGTAAATATTTTCTCGAGGCCAGCCTCATCAATCGCTAATAAGAATGACTGCGGTAACATTTGAACCGAAATAAGGCTCCATATACGGAGATATAGGTAGAAAGAATGGCCTAATAGAAGCCTAACTTCTTCTTGAGGTTTTGTCTCTTCCATTCAGCAAGGCCGTTGAAAGCTTCTCTCTCCATGCCGAATTCCCGGCGGAAGTCGTCGTCGCTCATGTAATCCTGTTGGCAGAAGCGATTTCTATATTCAAAAAGACCTAAAATTTTAGAATTCTTCTGAATCAATAATAAGCACTTCTTCATTCAATCGTTGAGTTAATAAGAACCACACGTACGTTATAACATTTGCCATCCTGTGCAGCATACTAATTTAAATACCGCTTATGTTATAAACGGCAGTTGCTGTTCCGAGATGATAATCCTTTCAGTTTCATATGACATGACAATTTGAAAAATATCAAAGGTACAAATGAGTATAATAATCACCCGATTTTTGGCTTGATCATGACATGGGATCCCGCCTCACCTCCTTGCGGGTAGGGTCGACATCGTCAGGAAGTTTTTCGCCGTCCTTGATGCGCAGGATGGCCACAGGATAGGTCCTGCGGATGGGCTGTCCATCGTCGCCGACCGTCCGCGAAGGCGTCACCAGCACCGTGCAGCCCGGCGACGACTGTTGCAGCCGCTCACAGATGTCTTCGTACGTCATGTTGTTCTGCGTAAATTACTTCAAGTTTAGACTTCTTTCGCTGGCACTTGATAAAGATAATGACACTATTTTAGATCTTCTGTGAACAAGTCACGAAAAGTTCATGAATCGGCGACAGGCCACAGCAGGCCTACTCTTTAGCGCCGACATCACTGTTATGTTATGTTATGTTAACACTGGCCAATGGCTGTGCGTGATGATTAGGTGGAAAGCATAAGCCATAAAAATTGATGCAAGTTAGTAAAATACGGAGACGAATCTGAACACGATAAAAATCTTATCAAGAACTAATGTCCGGTTACTTGCCGATAGTCGGTTGTTAAGATAAAATACATTAATATATCATGAGAAATTGTAGAGAAGAAAGAATCTTATATTTTTCTGCGAGCTTGATGATGTTTGACATGAACACGAAAAAACGGATCCTCGGATTAGCATAAAACTTGTGATTGCGATACATGACTTGGAAGAATATATAAGAAAGGAGTAATGCAAAATAGTAACAATAAAAGAAAATGAAAACTGCTCGTAAGTAGCCATGAAATTTTCTGTGCATGTATAATTCGGTTCTTATGCCATTTAAAGCTGTTTCAGAGACTAAAAGTTTTGTTCAGAATTTAGGTTTTAGACTTTATTTAAGTCTATTGTATTTATTTAGACATACCGTAATTTAAAAGAATTGAGGTTGCTTGCGAAAGACGTGGATCAACTTCGTCCACTGCAAGTTTGCAAGCTAACGAGGTAATGAAAAATAAGCAAATGAAGATCATTTGCTCCCCGTACTGCCTGATCTGGACCTGAAATTCTAAAAATTCACAATTGATCGTAAGCGATACTTGATCGCATGTTCCGATTTCTTTTCTGTGTGATTGGATAATTTAGCTCATTTTCGATGATCAATCACCAGGGGCCCAAAAAGGGAGCATTCGACTACACTCGGGCTGCCAAATCTTGATTGGTAATGCAGTAATAGAAAGAGCGTCGGCAGCGTTGATTAGACCATTACAACTGTCGTTGATTCTGAACCCCGCAGAATTTTCATATGTTGTTGCGGGTCTCGAACACACAACTCATTGCTCCAATCTTGGTTCTCTAAACTGCAACCATTGGCTCACGTACCTTGGCCTTGAACTCGTATAAAAATAACATGTGAAAAATTACTTTAGTTAATGCGGACAGCAAACAATAACGAACTCACGTTCCAAAGGTCGTTGTCCCACACGCCGAAGAACCCTGTGAAGTTGGGGGGCTCGTACCCCTGCTTGACCAGCACGATGGGGGTGTCGGGGGAGCGCCCGCGGGGGTCGGTGAGGATGTATTCTACCGCCAGGGACTGTGACGTCACCCGCTCAGTCTGGGGACCAGAATTATTTACGAACATTAATATATGATTAATTTATTCAATTAAACAATATTAAACAAGATTATTACTCAGGATAAAGGTTTAGTGCCTTCGTTTTTGTTTGCTACATATTGCTATATACTCGTATTTATTTAAATTTCGGATTGGAAATTCCAATTACATAATTCGATTTCAGTCCTATCAGTTATATTCGATTTTCCAAATATGGATGAGGTGTTGCATTAAAATTGTAATTGAATAATATATCGATGTGAAGTCTTGCCTTGTTGCAGTTCACCCCCAGCCAGATGAAGACAGCCTCCCACGTGTCGAGCAACATCACGTCGTCCTCCACCAGGTCGCCTTGGCTGAAGTTCAGCACCTCTTGTGCTGGTGGTGTGATAATTTATATTTTAGATCTTTATGGTTATTATTTATTATATGCATCCATGTTAATATGCATCCATGTTCATATGCATTCATGTTCATCCATGAATACTTATTCGCATTTGTTGATTTTATATTTTTAATTTTTAGTGCTGTTGGTATGAATATATTTTTTTTAATTCTCGCGAGTCGCATGTAGGATTAGAGCTTCTGCATTGATTTAGGAAATAAGTTAACATATACCCTCGCACAGCCACTCATTATGGTCGAGATGCATTCGTGTTCAGTCTAACGAATAACAATTCAAATCTCCACAACGATTCAAAATTTAATAATAATGTTTATTATACATGACCAACAAGCTAATTAGGACATTGCAAAGGGAGAATGGAGGCGGCAAACCATTCTGGGAAAGAATGGCGGCAGCATTAACATTCATACAACACCGATATCACGATTATAGAGCAATATTTGAATCTTGGTATGTCCACTCCTTCCCCCCATACATGCATGTCAATTTTTCATATGAAATTCATGTTTAAGACAAATTTGCTCGACAGAAAACTGCAACGGCCATGAAATCTAAATGTAACTCGTAGAAGATTGATATACAAGTCATACAGTTTGTCGTGGTCAAATAAAGGCCAAGATATTTATGAAAGCATGGCGGTGGCCAAGCGGTGGCGGTGGCGGTGAAAATAAAGGCCAAGATAATAGTTGTGAAAGAATAGCGGTGGCCGTGGCGGAGAAAATAAAGACCAAGATAATAGTTGTGAAGTATAGACCCACTGACCTGTGAAGACCCCGGAGGCGTTGGAGCAGTGGAAGAGGCGTGGCGGGTGGTCGTTGTCGCTGCCTTTGGCGAGGGCGCTGACGCTGGCGTAAGCTTCCTTGCCGCCAAGCGTCTTCCAAAATTCTTCTGGTTCTCGCCCTGCTCAGAGTGATAATTATGTAATTCTATTTATTGAATTAATTTGATTTTAGTTAAAATTATATGATCTGGGAACGAAATTGAACTGAGTGCACTGAAAAATCACTCAGAAATGTAAAATTAATGACAGAAGCACTCAGACTGACTTCGCTAAAAGCTAAATGTAGTAAGTGTTAGCTTCACTCATAATGTTGATTGGCGAGAACATGGTATAGGCGTGACAGAGGAAGTATCCAAAAGCCTAAGTTTGTCGTGAGGGACTCCAACGCGAAATAGGAACAAATTTTAATGCTCCGAATGGGAGTATGAATATTCAACGAACGTCGTCGACCACTCTGCTCATATACTGCTAGGTTATCAGTCATCTGTTAGTATATAAAACAATACGTTTCATTGAGGCAATATCGACTGAGAGAACGGAGCATAACTGACATAATATCGGAAAAATAAAAATAATTATACTCTCCGAGCAAACAAAATTGCAGTAACTTTGATTAAGACTAGATTTCGTTGTAACAATTAAAAATTAACTTTTTTCAACGTCAGATGCCTTGTGAGGAAGACGATAGATCCTATAAAGAGTGGCATAAACCTTCCATGACGATGGTAGGGTCTGAGGAAGGCAAGTATAGAACCGAACCTTCCATGACGATGGTAGGGTCTGAGGAAGGCAGGTAGCACTAACCTTCCATGACGATGGTAGGATCTGAGGAAGGCAGGTAGCACGAACCTTCCATGACGATGGTAGGATCTGTATTATTCAACTATATTAATTCGTGACTCATCACCTCGACAGCCTTTGTGTTGAACTTGGTGGTTCCTCGCACTTGCAGCGTGTAGGTGGACTTACGCGACACTTCTCGCTCACTCAGACCTGCCCGCACACACGTCGCTCTTATTAATAATTGATTAATATCAACAAAATTAAGAATACATTATAATAATAATGAATAATAATCAATACGGGCCATAATCACGGATTAATTATTGGAGAAATTTCTAAATAGAAGCTATGTTATAACTGCGGTCACTAAATTTTCTCGTACATTATTCTGAGTGGTAACAGGAAAAACACTTTCTACCCAATCATTATATTTATATCTGTTTGGGATAATAATCATTAAAAGACGTGTATGGCAAAAAATAGATTTATTTAATGTTGTTAATACATCTAATTCCATGAGATAAGCAAATTCAATATTTAATCCATTATTTTCTACTGCGCTGTCAGTGGAAACATGATATCGCAATTTGAAGAACGCAATAATATATAATTGTGATACATATATAATAAATAGACTGCAATAATATATAATTGCGATGCGTATTTAATAAATAGAACGCAATAAAATAATATCGTCATTTATGCAATACAAGGCGCTTTATTTAACATCATGAAAATTGCAAATTATTTCACATACTCTTGAAGCCCGACGAGTGCCCGCCTTCGTAGACGACCATCTTGCCCCTGAATATGGCCATGAAGTGCGAGGGCTCCATGCCCTGCACCACGCGCACCAGCACAGCGCGTCCCTGCAGCTTCTGATCCAACTCTACCGCGCGCGCCGCTGCCGTCCCTTGCTCGTCCGCCGTCGAATGTAGGCCCTGGGGGCGGCAGTGATTCTTAAATAATTTGCATGAAATTTTTAATAGTAAGGTACATATTGGATTAAATACAAAAATAAAAATACATAGCGCGCCCCTGCAGCTTCTGATCTAACTCTACCGCGCGCGCCGCTGCCGTCCCTTGCTCGTCCGCCGTCGAATGTAGGCCCTGGGGGGCGGCAGTGGAAGATTTCACAAAGATTGAGTTGATTATCGTGCGTTTCAGTGTTTTTTCCTATGGTAAAATGAAATTTTTATAGTAATGCACATATTGGATTTAATACAAAGATTAAGTTTATTAACGTGCGTTTTGATGTCTTTTTTTTTTCTGGGAAAATTAATAGTTCAAATGAATAATTGAATAATTTAATGTAACGCATTAATTAGGAAAACGACAAATGAAAATGTATTTTTGGGTTGTATGTAAGTGCCAAAAATGACACTCATAACTTCCATTGGAAATAAACAGTTCATGCAGCAAAAACCCCGCATTATATTGTGAATGAAACTCCCGTAACCAACAGATTCAAACGACGACACATAAACATTATATATATATTTAATATATACCAAATATTCATCAAATTAAAACAAACAGAACACACGATCGTGTGATAATCATGATACGGAAACTGTCTCATCCTCTAAACAAAAAAATTTCCAATATTGATATGAATTACGAAAAGATAACATTGTTATATTCATAAAATGAAATAACTCAGCGGTTTTTAAAAAAATAAAGAGGACGGCCACGCGACAAAGAAGCATTCGTTAGTTTTCAGCGACCTCACGCGGTGGTCAGCCTGACCATGACATCACCAGAAGTAAATCCTGACCATCATGACTAATAAATAACAAATAATAGGGACAAATAATGGTTAACCCTATACCGCCTTACATGAGCAACCGGAGCAATATTGTCACAAGCCTATGTTCCAAAAAGGATACGTTCTAGTGAGCGCAAAATGACTTGCACTGACGGTTGCCGCCACGTACGACAACTTTAAAATGTTCTCGGTTGCGTACAAACATCTTCAGGTTGCTACTCTCAATAGTTTACATATGATATAATTTAGGTTGAAAGTTATGTTATCGGAGAGTGATATTCGGCAGTAGAGGGTTAAATCACTACTCGTTAGATTGAATGGTTCAATCATTCTTACCTGCCAATGATAGACGATGTAATTCTCCTTGGTTCCCACAGAGTAGGCGTATAAGATGACGTAGCAGTCGCCCATGTAGAACTCGCCGAACTTGTTCTCAGGTACAGGCTCCAGGTTGAACTTGTTGATTCTGAAGTTAGATTACTTTTCTTTCAATAATTATAGTATTGATGATTGAGGATGATAGTATAATTTTAAAGCCTTTTATTCTGTCATGAACATGATCTTTCCTAAATGGATTATAAGACAAAATTCAAATTGTTTTTATTTATAAGTGAATGTGAAGGATGAAAATATTTTTAATGAAAATAAAATGATGCTTTTTGAGAATAACTTATTATTAATTCAGTTCATTTTTATGTTAGCTTCGTTCGTTAATTTGAACGGATTTTTTCGAATATCTGGTTAAAAATAAATAAATAAATATCACTGAAACAGAGTTCCAACCTGGGAATAATGTAATTTAGTGAAATTTTCCGTGCAAGTTGTGACTCATTAGGCAGTAATTAGTTTATTTATTCCGCAGGAATATTGTATTCATGGAATTGAATTAAAGTGAACTAATGAAGATTAAATAATGCTCTGACTATATATACTCAGCCCAACAATAATTTTTATTATTACAATCATATTAATTCCTTATATATAATTTATTATTTATCTAAATTTATTTTAAAAAGTAATAAAAATAATTTCAATTTATACACTACGCATATGCTCATAATTTCATTTATCTGTGAGTTTCACTTCTCAACGTATAAATTTTTTCTGAAATATCCTGATGCTTGAAAAATATTGAACAATTTTTTTCGTTGGAGGAAGAGTGATGCTTGAAAATTTTTTATACGCTGTATACTTGTACTTTTTTTCGCGCAAGAACAAAACTTGCCCTTTATTCGAAAGAGTAGACTAAAACTAAAATGTAAACAATAGTACCGTGTGGCCGGTAACAATCCGACAACCCTCAGAAAAGCAATAAAGCTACAGAGGAACAAGAGACCATTTCTTTCCTCCTGTGCAGCAAAAGTTCTTGTCATCTTTATTTGAACTCGAAACTCAGTAGCGATTCAGACATCGAAGTTCAGAGAACAAACATCCATCGTACCTCTTCATTTTCAGTTTACTTTCTGAACCCTGTGTGCATAACATGATTTATTTAATTTCGAGAGTAATTTATTATTTATTACACGAGAGTATTATTACACGAGTAATATAGTATACTATGAAATAAACGGTGTATACAATACATACCGCCATATTTCTTTCTGGCCAGAGCCATCATCCACCATCTGCGTGGCAGCGGCCACGTCAGGCCGCTCGTGTAGCGTCTGGGCCTGGAAAATGGGCTGGGCGAACGACGCTTGACGCGTGACTGCGGCAACACGAATATATTCATGTTAATATCCATCCATGTTCATATGTATCCATGTTCATATGCATCCATTTTCATATGCATTTATTTTAATAGGCATTAATATTTATATAAATTATGTTCACAAGCATCCGTAATCACAAGCATCCATGTTCTCCAGCATCTATGTTCACAAACCGTCTCAAGCTTAGGTTTGTGAAGTTGTAATATTTCTACCGGTTTTTACATGCTGAAGATGTCTAATATATCTGCTGAAGGTAAAAAATTATTAATTTTGACAGCTAATTTCAGAGTTCAAACAGATATGCGACTGGCTAAAAATTTGATGCTCTAATTGATGCTATTTGAACGCGTGTACAATCTTGCTGCTCTCTGCTAGCTTACCACAGAGCGCCTAGAAATGGACAATTGGCTTAAATTGCAGATAAATTAAATAAGTACGATATTTCTCTTTTTACACACTAACACAGTGTCTATTTTAAGTTGCATGGGAGTTTGAAGCCCTATTAAGTTACAGTTTCAGGCGAAACAAGTAACTTCTAAGTACGTTATTCGTAAAATGGAATTTATTTGCTTGCAATCTTGTAATATTTACCAAAATGTAATGCAATAAAATACCGAAAAAACTGACACTTGCACTGACACTTGAACCAAGAAACTATGAGCAGTCCTCATCTTTATGTCACACGCACATGTGGATACGCTCTCTTAAAAAGAATACAAGTCTACAACATATAATATTCAATGAGTTTAAATAGCCATGACTAAACATGTTGTTATGTATTTAATAGCCTTTTTTGATGGCTAAAATATTTGAATAAGGAAGGCTTACTTTGGGGTTTGAAGCCTGTGACCTTGGTTTCCGATTTGACTTTCCAGTTCTTGAAGAGACTCTGGAAGTCTTGCGGTTCCCCGCCATCAATGACGCGTGTGGTACGTGTGCTGGAGGGGCAAAAATATTTGTAAAAAAATATTTGAAAGAAGAGAATATTTTTAGCACGTCTTTCACCACGGCTAGCATTTATAGTGATTGTTTTGGTTTTGATAATTAACTCCAGATTACGAGTAAAATGAGCGCAAAGAAGAATTGTGTTTAACTAATATGAAATACAAGGGAAATAGTCATAATTCATTTGTTTCTTTAGATTGATAGGTTAGACCTAAGAGCAGGAAATGAAATAATCGAAATCACACGATGCGTGTCTTTAAAAACTGTATCGATTGTGCGTGATCGTGAATATTTTATATATATCTTGTTTTGCCTTGGTGATTAATAAGACAATGCAAACTATAGATTTCATTCAAAGTGTTAATTTGATTTTCAAAGTTATTTACAGAGGTTTTATCGGTGTGATACCCAACAAAGAAATGTCTAGTTTGTCGCAGAAAGAAAATAAAGAACAGAATTATCGTGATTTTAATGCATCGCAAGTAAAAAGTCTAAATATTCCTAATATAGACAACACTTTTGATGCATGTGAAGTAAAAAGTATTGCTCTTAGTATAGACAACACGATGGCACAAAACCGCCGTTGACCAACACTCACTTGGGGCTGTAGCCTTTCTTGGCCACGAATCCTAGCGCGTTGCGCATGGCTTCCTGGCGCTCCTTGGCCGACGCTTTCTTGCCGATCCAAACCCATATTCCGTTCGTGCCGTTGTCGATGATGAACGCGTCCTGGCATATATACATGACACGAGGTCCTCCTGGAAGAGAGGGCCGGTCTTCACCTCGGTGATCTTAAGAGTCTTACTCTCATCGCTGCAGCGGTACAACTTCAGGTCGCTGGCGAGCTGACGAGCCTGCGAGAATATAAATGTAAGCCAGCAACTAAATCACTTCTGATTATAAATTCTGATTATAAAAATTAAATTCAATAAAATAAAAATCAAATTAAATAATTCAGAATAAATTATGATTATTAAAAATTCTGATTATAAACATGATGATGATACCCATATTAGAGTCTGAAATAAATTCATGGGTAAAAATACTGATCATCAGTATTCATCATGAATCCTTCCAAACAGTCTGGAAGGATTCATGATGAAAAATCTTATAACAATATAAGTACGAAACGAATTCATTGTTAATAATGTAATAACCATATCAATATCAATTTGAAATCAAATCACTGGTAAGAAATTTGATGGAATAATATAAAATTTTGTGAATACGTTTATATGTAGGGAACTCATAACGATGAGTATGTATCCTAAATTATTCACGGAGATAGCAATAAAAGTCAGGAGAATAAATAATCTTGCCGCCTGTAAGTAGTTCTTTTGAACTTGATGTCATGCGCAATGTCATTTGAACTTGAAGTATCAAATCTTGACGGGGACTAATTTAATGAAAAATCTTGGTACTAAAAGGGACGGGTACTAAAAGAATCAAATCTTGACTAAAACATTAATATCTGTTACTGGCTCTGCCCGCGCGCTCTGTGGAGACAAAGAGACATAAAATTAATTAAGAAATTCTTTAGTCTGAGATAGAGATTTCTCTTGAGAGAGTTTGGGGTAAAGATGCATATTTGAATTGCGTGAGAGATTATGAAGACATGCGTAACTGAGGCTGAATAATGTATCCAGCAAACAAGAGATACTTGGTGTAAAAGCTGGTACTCTACGGATAAATAGTTAATTTAATTAGAGCAGGCACTGATTAAACACAAAAACTCTCTTTAATTACAGTACTATAGCAGATTATATCCGTAACCACCATTATTACATTACACAGTAATATTGTTAAATTGTTACCTCAATGCCGACAATTCCTAAACACAACTAAAGTCAGGTCTACTCTTCGTCAATTAGTGTTGCGTATGGAGAGGAATGAGAATAATAAGCAGAATACAATTAGAGATAACGAGCGGTGCTTTAAGCGTGAACACAAACCTATCAGCTATAATTTAGAAAGTAAGTTGATGCAAATGAATTGTTTTTGTATTCTCACAAAAGGTATTTATCTGCAACCCATATAGTTGATGTAATTAAAAACATACTGCTTTACTCGTCATGAAAGCAATAATTCTAGATGTTGACTTTCGACTGAATTTTAATGGTACACTCACGAAGACTTCGTCCTGAGGCACTGAGGTGTGCGACTTGACGTTCTTGCTGTGAAGAGGCAAGAGTTCTTCAAAGGCAGCACGCTCGGCCCCTTGCAAGGCGCTCTCTTGCCCTTCTTCGAGGATCACCACGGAGCCTGAACACCCGCGCTCTGCCTTCAGCTGACCTGCGAACTGAGGGAGACTTTGCTATATTGCAGGGGTGAAATTTTGTTGAATTAGGTTTTCGTTTCCCATAAACTTTTTCAGCTGCAGTCCGCTCAGCTGCAGTCCGCACTGGCACAACTTTTCTAGTAATGTACGCTAATTAATACGAATTAGCTGATATTCTTTTAGTAGTAATTATAATAATTAATATGAGAATGTTAACATTATTTTATCAGTGAGTAATAATTTATACAAGTCAGTTAACATTCCATGTTGCTATACAACATTATAGTAAGATGTGTGGGCAACTAGAGCTCACGTATTATGGAATGAATTTTATTGAAGATCCGGTGACGCTCAATGGACTGATCAGCTTAACACTTTTAAGTGCTACATTAATTTAATTTAAGTAGCATGAGATTAAAGGTTATCTAATTTTAATAGCATATTCAAGTGCCAAAGAGCGTATTGGAATAGCATATTGATGTTAAATCCCTTATTTATTTGATCGGCAGCTTAAAACGAGTATAAAAACGAAGCGAGTTCCTTGCCAACAGCAGATTCAATGTAAATTAGATCAATCCCGCGTAAAATCGAATGCAGGATTCAAAGCGATGTGTTTTTCTCACAAACCTTGGCCGCTTGGAGCTTCTCGGAGTTGTTGCTGTAGCGGCCCGTCCATACGAACACGATGTTCTTCGATGCCAGCACGAAAACATCGCCGTCGTTCATCTCAGACCAGTCGACCTGAAAGCATTAGTAGCATATCAATATCACTCGTCATGACTTCTTTCACGAGGATGAAAATTATTCAATTATTCAATTATATTATTTATTGAATTATGAATTATTTATTTTGAGTGGAAAAGTGGAAAAATTAATTGTAAATATCAAAGCTGAAATCCGGATGAAATATTTTCTGCGAGAAAAATAGAACATAAGAATTTTTATGCGGCTTATTAATAAATTTGTTTATATAGTAATAAACTATGATATTCCTCAACTGAATCACTATTGAATTGATATTTAAAGATTGATATATTTTTATTTAAATTTACTGAATCACTCTATAACTTCGTGTGATATCTTTGAAATTGACGAAACGAAAATACGGACTCAATATAGTTTTAAAATAAATTATAAATATAATGGAATACTAACTGTGTGTATTATTTTTTCCAAAATTTCTTCGGCACAGAATACAAATAATATAATCTGTAATGAATAGAATTTCCTTTGATACAAAGTAATGAAATTGAAAATCTGTTTTATAGACACTGAGTAGAATATCCTCACTTTAAACAATGTCTGGATTTGAATATCCCAACCTTACTAAGCCAATGGCGGAAAATCGCTGCTCCAAAAATATTATAGGAGTTGCATTGTCGCAAGATCGAAGTTTTACCCGAAATAAGTTTAGGTTAAAATTTGTTGAATTTACAGCTTTGTTTCCATTAACTCAAAGCCTCACAAATTGGTTTGAAAAATGTCTTATAGCCGACAGATGCATTGCCTTCAATAACCCCAAGTGCTAACGCATGTCGCTCGAGATACCCAAAACAACTGCCGGTCATTTTTCCCGCTCTACGCCTAGAGGTTGTTTGAGCGAGGTTAACCGCTTATAGTGACACATTTTGTACAGTAAAAATTTTGAGAGAATTTTGGAGATGTTTTTTTTTCTGCTGTAACGCACGCACTGAGCTGTGTCATGAAGGTTATGGATACTGATCATGGTAGAATTTACCATTTTTATTCGTTTATAGTACCTTGGCCAGCTCCCTGACGACGATCTGGCGCTTTCCTTTCACTTGGAAGAGCGTTGGTTTGTAGGCGTCAGTCACCTTCCTCAGGCCACCTTTCACACCGCCCTTCATTAACCTGAAATACATGGGCGAGAGTTGCCCGTCATTAACCTATAATACAGGGGCGTGAGAAGCCCTTCATCTACATGTGGAAAATGAAAACAAATTTTTTGAGAAAATAAATACAAAATATCGGACGTTACCAAAGAACTGGTCATTGAAACGAAACAAATTATATCTAGCAGCTCACCGAATGCCATTCTTGAAGTAGCCCTTGAACCTGGCGCTCTCATGTCCCTCGGTCTCCCTGTGCTGGACTGGACTGCCACCCAGCGCTGTGTCCAGCTCGACACTCTTGATGGCTGCCACCGCCGCCTCGTCGGTGCTGGCCTCCGACCCCAGCCAGAAGTGAATGTGCACCTCCAGAGGGCCGCGCACCGGTCGTGCCTGGGTGGTTAATTTTGAGCTTAGAATGGATGATGCTGGATTTTGACCCCTACTGTAAGTGGATGTGCACCTCCTGAGGGCCGCGCACCGGTCGCGCTTGCATGGGGTGGTCAATTATGAGCTTAGAATGGATGATGATGCTGGATTTTAACCTCTACTAGAAGTGGAAGTACAACTCTTGAGGACCGCACACCGGCCGCGCTTAGGTTGGCAAATATAAGATTAAACAACAGCCTGTAGCTTAGATTGGATGAAGTTGGATTTTGACCCCTACTAGAAGTGTAGCCTATGTACGTGCACCTCCTGAGGGCCGCGACCTGGCTGCCATTATGGAGGTCATTGTGAGCTCAAACGTCTGCCATTGACTTATATTGGGTGGCATCGTTGGACTGTGACAGCAACGAGGAGTAGATGTGCATCTGCAGAGGACGTGCTATTAAAGCGAGTAAGTCCACAATAATTTACAAGTGACTGGAACTGCCAGCTCCACGCATCCGTTTGATAGATTTATTGACAATTTTATTTGAAAATTAAAGCGGTTCGATGAAAACGAAGACAGAAAATTCAGAATCCTGAAACTTTTTCTGCGAACGAACCCGCATCAAACGAAGTCGCAAGGTGTGAGTACTGGTTTTTAAAATTCGTGCAGTAAAAAGTTTTGACCAGCTCAAAACACTTAAAAAAAAGCCAAATAATATACGTGGCAGATAACAGTGCCTCACAAGGCCGCAAGTTACGGTTTATCATTTAGTATTTGTGCAAGCAGTTTTTCGCTGTTTTAGTGGGGGTGGTTTGAGTGTAAAGAACGTAATTATATCCAGGAACGTCACGAATTTAAGCAAATAAAAAGTTGAAGCAAAGATATCTGTCATGTTTGCCAATTAGCGCTAATTGCTGAACTTTTCTTCGCGTTTTGCAGTTGTTGGGTCCGTATTTGACGCTTGGTCTTAACAGTAACAACATATAATAAGAGTATATAGTTACATTAATAAGCCTTGTAATATAGTAACATTTAACAGTAACCAACATATAGTAAGAGTATAGAGTTACATTAATGCTAAACCTTTGTAATATAGTAACATTTATGAGTAACAACATATAGTAAGAGTATATAGTTACATTAATGCTAAACCTTTGTAATATAGTAACATTTATGAGTAACAACATATAGTAAGAGTATATAGTTACATTAATGCTAAACCTTTGTAATATAGTAACATTTATGAGTAACAACATATAGTAAGAGTATATAGTTACATTAATGCTAAACCTTTGTAATATAGTAACATTTATGAGTAACAACATATAGTAAGAGTATATAGTTACATTAATGCTAAACCTTTGTAATATAGTAACATTTATGAGTAACAACATATAGTAAGAGTATATAGTTACATTAATGCTAAACCTTTGTAATATAGTAACATTTATGAGTAACAACATATAGTAAGAGTATATAGTTACATTAATGCTAAACCTTTGTAATATAGTAACATTTATGAGTAACAACATATAGTAAGAGTATATAGTTACATTAATGCTAAACCTTTGTAATATAGTAACATTTATGAGTAACAACATATAGTAAGAGTATATAGNGAGTAAGGCAGGGGAGGGGTGAACAGAGGTGAGTAAGGCAGGGGAGGGGTGAACGGAGGTGAGTAAGGCAGGGTAGGGATGAACGGAGGTGAGTAAGGCAGGGTAGGGGTGAACGGAGGTGAGTAAGGCAGGGTAGGGGTGAGCGGAGGTGAGTAAGGCAGGGGAGGGGTGAACGGAGGTGAGTAAGTCAGGAAAATGAGTATAGAGTGGTGGCAAGGAAGGGTGAACGGAGGGGAATAAGGCAGGAATAGAAGCCATTAATAAAACTATGCTTAGTTTCGAGATGACGAGGAAATGAAAAAATATAACTCGGTACTCACTGCAATGAGTGACAGTGAGCGCATTTTCTCGTCGACTAAAACGTGAAGTCACGAGCAGACAGACGGACGGACAGACAGACGGACAGACGGTCAGACGGACAGACGGACAGACAGACGGACATGACGAGTGTAAAAGCGTTTTTTTTTCATAAATGAGAAATGCGCTAAAAAGGCAACGGTGGAATCATCTGGATTGACAATTGTTCCGTGCATCGTTTGAGAGCTCGTGACTAAGCGATCACACAGAGAAATGTGCAGGACTTGTCCAAATAGTGATGGACTTTATGCCCTTGTGTCATAAAGTGTATCATAAAGTGTGTCATAAAGTGTGTCATCCTGAACGAGTTTGGCCCGGTAAAAAAGGGCCAATCAATGATACTTGCAGAGAGAGTGCAACTGTTTGTACATTACGGCCCATTCACTTCAATGAGTGAAGAGTCACTAAATTTGCGTGATTAGGATGAATGTGATTAAGACGAAAATAAAAATAATTTGTAAAAACTTTGGTGGTTCAAAATGTCCCACTTTCACTAGGGCGACGTTTAACGACATTTCAATTACGCATATTGATATTAAAATTTATAAATTAACTGCGAATTTGTTATTAATATAATTTATAATCAATATGATTTATAAAACAACAGCGCGTTCGGTCTTGACTTAATGTAAAAATTCAATTGCCAACAGTTATGTTCATGTATAGGAACAGAATCAAATAAATACGAAAGACAAATCATCATCCCTACAGATAAAGTATTATCAATCACTTCGTGGATGTCTGCATGATTAGATGCATACATCCGCATCGATTGTAGCCGACTG